TCTTTTTGGAGTTGATATGTATTTCACATACTATGGTATTTAAAAAACTTAAAATTTGTTTAATACTTTCGAGATTATAAGCAACAACAAAATACAAGTGAATATGGTTTTTGCCCTAATGCTGCTACTTGTTTGATATATCTAGTCCATACCTATTTTTGAATAACTCTATGAGAAGAGAGACCAGTATGTTTGAATGTACATATGTATGTATAAAAAAAAATATTTATTCGCAGAAAAATTGTGGGTAGGCACTGTGGCTAATGGTGAAGATCATTTAACACCTCTGCATGATTATAAGTCATGCAGAGTCCGCAAAAGGCTCCGGAAGCATTGTCCGTAGGATGCATCAGACTAGGCCGAGCATGATTTAAACTATCATCAAATTATAACTTATGAAAGTTTTACTACATAGCAGTTGAGAAGTGCATGTGCAAAAATTTAGTGTTAGTAGATATGCCCAAAACAGTCGTATTGCAATTTTGGTCATGATTTCTGACTAACAGTAGGTGTTACTGTGGAGAAAATTTGTAAAATAAAACCGGTTTTTCAGGGTTTTCTTATTTTGAAAATGGGGAGCCCGTTCGTTTTAAATTTTCTGGTCCCGAGAAAATACTACAAACATGCCCACAGCACGGCACCGTCTGAACAACTCGTTATAAAAAAAACGAACACCCTAATGATTATGTACATGCAACTTGTATACCTGTAGTCTTCATCCTACAGTAGTATATAAGTATCTTTACTAAGTTTACTCCTAGTGCAGCACACCCGATCCCATGCCAGTTTGGCATCTTATGCTCCCTTGTCATGAACATGACATGTCTTCCAAACAACGCAAACCTCCTTCCACTTTCCACTCAGCAGCTGTGACTGCATAAAATCCTTTTATGTGATATACCATATGATAGCTTCTCCAACACAGACATCTAACCCATGCAGAACAATTGTCCAGTTTTTCAATGAGCGAGCGTAATAAATCTTATCGCACAGGCACAAACATTATATATGGGCTAAATGTTTATGTCAGAAATTGCCAACAATTCTGTATTTATAAGCGGGAGTGGTGGAGTGTAGAAATGCCTAACTTGATGTAGGAAATGCACACCTAAATACTTAGATACATATGTACATGTGTATGTGTGTATGTACATGTGAAAACGAGCATGTCTTTCTGATTTTCAGTTAGAAAATTCATCAATTTTAGGCGAATTTACAGAGAAGGAAATTTTTCGCACAAGCAGCATTTAAGCCTAAAAATTTGATGTGCACTTTTTTTCAAAATTTATCTTTTTCGGATACAGACATACATACATACATTTTTGACTATTCGAAATTGAGTTGAGACGGCATTTTGGCCTCAAATTGACAGAGCACCTTTTTTGTTGGCGTAGCATACACCAGTAAATTTTTGTTCGTCATTTAGACTCATAAGTCCCTAGATATATGCTTCGATCATATTTCGTTGAATTTAGCATAAAATGCAAATATTTGTGAGGAAATGCACTCAGTAACATCATATTTTTGCAAGTACATATATTTTCTCGTTGCCATTACCATTTTACACCATGCACGCATACATACATTCATTCGTGCCCTTCATACTTTTACAGTATACATCTATCTACAGTATCTATCGTAGTACCCTCACTCACTTTTCCCTAAACATTTCCAGTTTACTTCAGCATCCCTTATATTTCTTATCCACCCACCCCATCCTTTTTAGCTGGCATAGTACTTCAAACACCAGAGTATTGCACACAATATTGTCTCCTCATAATTTTCTCAATTATTTTTCTATGCTGCTGCGTAAAAACAAGTTGCATATTTTGCATTACTTGCAACCTTCTGTGCTCGCTCTTTGTAGTTTATTGCTATCAGCGGTCCGACAATACTTTCGCAAGAGGTAAAGTCTTCCCTTGGAAAGGATGTTGCATGACCGCAGCACTTTTAACTTTTAACTCAATTTTATTGTTGCTTTGGATATTTCTGTGTACTTTCTTGGTTGATAAAAATTGCTGCAGTTGCATGGCAAGTTAGACACCAAAGGAGGAGCGATATGCTTTGCGAAAGCGAAATATCTTCTTCAACTATGTATGTATGTAAATTGAAAGTATAGGATAGATAGGAGACAAATGAAAATCTAGCATACTTTAGGGGTACATAAGGTGCAACACTCTATACAAAAAAAAAAATCGGTACCGTTGCTCCATCGCAATTGTAAAATTTATTATATTTTAAGACTTTCGCCGAAATATTTCGGAAAAATATTACGATTTACGTGAGCTGGGCCGATTTGAAAATATCTCAAAAAATTTAGTTTTCTATAAATAAAAATATTTTTTTTTTATTTAAAAAAAAATCTCCTCATATGACAAAACAGTTTAAGCTTAATAAATTTTCCTCGGAATCATAATAATTAGATTTTTGATGCTGTTTTTGTACTTTTTTCAAAGATTGGTTTAAGTAAAACTTGAGTAGCTCAACCAAAACTAAACCGATTCAGACTTACTGTGAGGTGTCCTTAGAAAGGTATTTTCTCGCCCCTTTTATTTGCAAATAAACTCATTCAAAGTATGAAAGAGAAAGCTAGGATGAACGAGCTTCATTCCAAGTTGGTTAAGATGTGTTGATATTTGAAAAAAAAAAAATTGGGGCGTGAATGATTTTTTTTGCAAAGAAATAAAAATACCTTTCTAGTGATATCTCACAAGTCTGAATTAGTTTAATTTTGGCTGAGTTATTCTAGTTTTACTTAAACCTATCTTTGAAAAAAGTTCAAAAACAGCATCAAAAATCTCATTGTTGTGATTCCATTGAACAAATTGTTTAATATTTTTATGCGGATTTTTTAAGCTTAAACTGTTGTGACTTTTTTCAAAAAATTAAAAAAAAATATTTTGATTCACAGAAAACTAAATTTTTTGAGATATTTTCAAATCGGCACAGCTCACGTAAATCTTAATATTTTTACGAAATATTTCGGCAAAAGTCTTAAATACAATAAACTTTATAATTCCGATGGAAAAATGGTACCAATTTTTTTTTTTTTTTTGTATGAAGAGTGGTGCACCCTAATGTACATTCATCCGTCTCCCTAAGGTATGCTAAATTTTCATTTGTCTCCTATCTTTCCTATACTTTGATGGTTTTTTTTAACAAATCTTTTATGAAACTATTTTTATTCATAAAAAACTCCATTTTTGGAGGTAATTTCAAATCGGTCTAGCTAACGTAAATCATAATACTTTTACGAAATATTTTGATGAAAATCTTCAAATATAATAGATACATTTTGTAATCCTGGCGGAAAAACCGCCACTTGTTTTTGGTGGTGCAGTCTAATGTACATATGTTTACGTAATTGTTTTTTTTTTTTGTTTTTGTGCTCTATTACATGACATCATCTTTAAGACATAAATTCTTCAAGTGGATTTCGAAGCAAATTTAAACATATATGCATTAAGGTGGTCCAAAAAACCAAAAAAAAATTCAAAATTATTCCGCTTTCCGAATGAGGTGTTGGCACCAAACTTTACGTTTCTAAGTAAAAATTTAGAGGATGCTCATAAAATGTTTATACTTTAATCTAGAAGTATTTTGTGCAGATATTAACCAAACAATTGGTGAAGCAGCCTAAGAACATTTCAAATTTAAATAAGCAGAAAAATATTATATTTTTATATAAAATTTATATTTTTATGAAAAATCACCAAAATGTTTATCAGTTTCCAAGTAGCGCATTTTAACCTAACTTACAACCATAGAAACGATAACAATTAGACCGACACACAAAAAAAAATTTATCTGTGTATTTACCCGATCTACCTAACGACGTGTGTTTCGACCCGCTGAATCCGAATCTGAGGTCCGATTGGCTTGTACACCCTCCGAGAAATTTGCGAACAGTAAATTTTACACTCACAAAAATTTAGACTTTCGCAAAATCGTATTCCAAATACAGTAAAACTTGGTTTTTAGTTTTTCTCTCTGACGTCAGGATTTTTTAAAGGACTTTAAAATTAAACACAACCTATTATTTCAAAAAAAAACTTTTAAAATTCAGTGCAATTTAGAAAAACAATATTGGTATAAAATTAAAGTGAAAATTCTGTAAAATTAATGCAAAATAAATTTATTGGTACTTAAGGACAAGTGGGTATTGAAACAATCTTTCAAAATTCAATCCTTGAAATTTGACAATACTTTATTTTTGAAATATTTATATTTCGCAATCTTATTTTGTTTTTTTTTTTTTTAATTATGTCCTCAAATTTCGTCCTTATTGTTTTTTTACGTTTAATTTTTTTAGATTCAACAAAATTTTCTCTTTTATTTGATAGCGATATTGTTATTCTGCATTGCACTGAAATTTTTAAATAATTTTTGGAATTAAACAAATTTTTAAAGTACAAAGTCCTTTTAAAAAATCTTTACGTCAGAGAGGAAAACAAAAAATGCAGTTTCGATACATTTGGCTCAGAGTTTCGCGAGTACATTAATTGCTGCATGTGTTTGGATATTTTTTGGTTTCCTATGCCCTGGCACCTGGCACTGTGGATAAATGCCAGCGCGTCCTCTCGGGTTAACTTAAGGCGCCTTTGGAATTATTTTCACAAATTTTGTTTGAACTCAAGATTTATTACGCGAATTCTGAATGTAGTAGACATTTCTCTAATACTTCGTCTCACTGGATTTATAGGATTTCATTTTTATACGTACATTAAAATGTCTTTGCAACCCGATTTATTAATAAAAAAAAAACTAAAAATAAATGCAAGTTCATTTAAAAGTATAAATTTTTTCGCTGAAAAATGACAAACAAAATCCAACCACAATGATGAATACACCCGAATAATATCTGGATTTATGCAGCAAAAGTAACGCTCGCACGCACGCACACACACACACGCAAATATTTACAAAAGAAAATCTAATAATACATCAATTATATTTCCATATATATATGTGGTTAATAAAATGTAGTTGCTCTTAGTTACCCGTATGTAATCATTTTGCGCAATGGTGAACCCTTCTGCACGATGCTGACCATTTTTTGTGGCGGAAATAGTTGAATTTCTGTGAGTTCGCAAATCTCCTTTTCATTGAATGTGTCCGCAATAATTTTATATGCGGTTGCCACATCAACATGAAAGGCAAACTCTGAAAGAAAAACAAGCAAGAAATTAACTTATTAAAATAACTTGATGTCAAAAATAAATATGCAGTATAACCTAGAGCAATGCACTGCGTTGGCTAGAGGCAAGCAGCGAAAGCAAATACATACTTAAGAATGAGAAGGCGTAACGCAGAAGCATATAAAATATTTGATATGAATATTATTTGCAAAAATTCAGCTAATTTGAATTATAATAATAATAAATCTTAATAATAGCAGTGAAAACTTCATATACATATATATGTATGTACTTATATTTCCCCAGCGGCTAGGCAGTGGTATGTGAGAGCCACCGTGGCGTATGAGTAACCTAAGAGCGAGTATGTACAAAGCAAAAACATTTAAAATCCCATAAAGGCATGTGAGAACAGCAACTGCAGTCCTATGTGTGCGTGTGTGTGTGTATATGTATTTGTGCACTGCATATTTACTTTAGCAATTATCTGGCAAACCACAATGCGTATGTGCTATAATAATTGCAAAGGAATATTAGATGCCGTCGCCTGAGCGCACACGTCCGCCATGCAGACAAGTACAATTTAATACGTACAAATGTACATATTTGCAAATATGCGTACATACATACATACTTACATGACTGTGTGCGAGTATATTTTCTTTCTTTTTATTACGCTAGCAAGCTAAAATTACAATTTCGTAAAAAAAGATTTAAAAAAAAACAAAATAAAATGAGAGCTAAATAAATGTAAAAAAAAAAAAGCAGCGCAAGTGCAAGCGACCTAGGGGAAAACCTAATTCAAATGCAAATGCATTTGCATTGTGGCACAAGTATGCGGTTTCAATGAACCAAATATAACTAACTAACAACTATACATATGTACATATGCAAATTTTCACATCTAACTACATATGCTCTTGTTTCCAGTAGATAATAGAAAAGTGTATCATGCGATCCCTTGCTTAAAGCTGACCAACTTACATGCATCTGAGCATACATATGTACGGTAACGAGAAAGTAAATAGGTAAACGACATTGTTGTTTAACAATTTTTTTTTTTATGAAAATATAGCTCACTCTCTAAAACCGTTACTATCTAAACCATGTAAATCAAAATTCCTAACTTTGCAGAACATTTCAAACTTTCAAATAATTTTTAATTTTTAATTTTTTGAATTTTTGAAATCAGCACACAAAAAATTTTTGGTAATATACTTTGATGATCGATAGCTCTCAGAGTGAAAAATTTGTCTTCTCAATATTTTAGCGAAAGTAAAATTTTTGCAAAAGTTATTCGCAAAAAAAGTTTAATATAAATGTTTTTTTCAAAAATTCATTATTCTTCGACGGTATAAATAAGTTGAACAAAAAATACCACAAATGAAAGATAATTGACTATATTTTAGTTTACTTATATAGAATTTGTACAAAAAGATTTTATTATTTGCAAATTTAAAGTAGGGCCGCCGTTGATTTTTCGCATTTTTTTGTAGGCGCATTTTCTTCCACACAAACTATTGGAATCGGAGAAAATGAGCAACACCTTACACAAAAAAATAATCGTCAAAAATCAGCGGTAAGTGCTAGCCATCTAAATTTTTCCCAACTGGATGAAATATTGTCGAATTTTCCAAATTTTGTCAATTTTTCCTAATGTGTGCACAAAATTTGAAATTTTGACGTGCATGGATTTCGTTAAATAACGAACTATACTTTCATAAAAAAATAATAAACATTATTTAAATGAAACGAAAATAGCCAAACAATTCTAAAATGCCCCTTCCCTATTTATATTTTCGCCACTATATATATGTAGTAGATTCTTAGCTCTTGGCAATGCTATTTTTAAAGGCAGTTAGCACATGTATGTATGCATACATTTGTTTTTCTCGAGGATAGTTTCGCCTTGGCATATTCGAGAATAATGAATTAGCAAGTGGAAAAATTAAACCAAAATATATGTGTAAAAAATTCCACTGTGGCATTCCGAGAATTTGTAGAGAATAGAAAATTTAGGCTACTATGCTGAAGGCGTTTATAGCAGCTGGTTTCTTCTCTGGTTACGCAAAGCCAATGAGCATCTATATTTCATTTATTCGTATGGACGCACATACATACATCCCTAGATACATAAGTACATAGATATATGCAGCAGAGACTGCACATCAAATTTAATTATTATGAGAGAAGTAACTACGCATACTCGTATCAGAATGCATCTAATTCAACCGGGACGCCTGCGCTAGCACGATTTGATGTGACTTGGTTATTTAGACTAAAAGCAATTCTAGGCATACTATGGGCTTCATATATACTATTGGGGTTTCATCACAGTGAAGGCTTGGAAACAGATTAGGGTTAGAGGCTGTGCTTTGTACTTTTTCTAAATATCGAAGTGGTTTTCAATAAAGTGACTCTAGAATTCTACTCCAGTTATAAGTAAAATTATCCTTATGAAATACAAGTGTTGTGATATTATTTTTATTACGAAATCTCACTATTTTTAATCTGTTTGCATAAATCGAAAACACCGATCGAAAGGAAGACATTAAGTATCCTACAAACTAGATAGATTACCTACATAGTATATTCTCTTAGTGACTGCAGAAGGTTGGAGGCAAGATCGATTGCTGGTTCCAGCCACACCAAAAAAAAACTGTTTTTTTTCTTTGTTTGGATCTTTTCACAACTTCATTTGACTTATCCCGATCATGTGGACCCCTTTTTTTACCGAAAACTTTCATTAGATCAAAGGTCTGTTTAAAATCGTTTAACAACGCGAAAAACAGTTCACTGAGGTTGCTTTTGAAAAGTTTTGATAATTACCTTCCCCAATTTGAATTAATTTGTCAGTGTTGCGTTAGATAACCTTTTACTAAATTCATTATTTACGTTAAATTTCTAATAACAAAACAACTATTTGTATTAATTAAAATTTGATGCCTTCAATTTGACTTCAAACTGCATTCAAGTAGAAAGATTATTCACTACAGCGCTATTCTACACTTTAAAGCCCATCGCAACCCTCCATACCACCAGCAAAGAAAATTAGGTATCTAGTATCTAGAGTATAACTGTAACGAATTGAAATACAAAACCGCAAGCTTACGGTCATGCATGCACACCATACGAAGCGCACTACACACACGTACATATGCGTTTGGCACAACGCACGCAAAATAGAAGTACTCATACATATGTATGTATGTGTTGTACGAGCTCAGTGCGGTTATGTGCGTTGAAAGCAAAAAATGCACAAGTAATTTCCATATCCAGTGCCACCGACCATGCAGTAAGCGCTCAAAAACCAACAGCAACAATAAATAAAACATATGAATAGCAAGCAAAAGACGAGCGCCGGCTAGAAAAAGCGCCAAAGCGTTAGGAATTATTCTTGCATTTTTCGGTTTGCGGTCTCCGGTTTCCCGTTTCCCGTTTCACTTACAATAGTAGTCGGGCATAATAATTGGGAGAGGGGGGGGCGGGGGAATAAGAATAGCAGCAGCAACAACTATAGTGTGCATGACAACATCTCACTTCCTTTGCTGCTGCCAGTTTGTTGGTTACGTTCGTAATTGTAGTTTAAAAGCCCTGCAGTTAAATTCTGAAGGGTAAATAGATATCCTTTTTACACTTGAAAATAAATATTAAAAAAAAAACAATTGTGAATAGGCAGATAAGTATCTATAGGAAGCACATGTGCATTTTTATGGTACATACATATATTTGTATGTATGCATTCCATGTGGTTACTTAGCCGCCGTTTGTGTGTTTAGAAAAGTTGCTGCTCTGCTGCTTTGTGGTAAAGAAATCTACTTTTAATTGGTGAAAATTGTGGTCAGCATTTAATAAATAACATTAAACAAAACTGTTAACCAAAATCATAGCATTGAAACTGAAAGTTTTTAAATACTTTGAAGCATTTATTTAGCATTCCACACACACACACCCATACTCACTTCCCCTACGTATCTTATCCACACCATATTGCGGATCATACCAATTGGATGCCTCATTTATCTTGGCATGCGCACCCGTCTCATGACTATGCAATATATCGCGGTATGCCTTTGACTTTTGCGCTTCGGTAAGCTCCACATTGGGTTGCAAGCCAGCTGCATCGGGCAGCGGCAATGCGGTTGCATTCCCAACTTTCGTCGCTGTGTGCGTTTCACTATGCGTTGGAACGGTGGTCACTTTCTTGGCGTATAATTCCATGGCGATGGGGTCTTTAGTGCGCTGGCAAAGAATAAGAAAAAATTTAAAAATAATTTGTATTGCAAAAAAAAAAACAATTCTACGAGAAGTCTCTGAATTTGAGCACCAAAATATGTGCAAGGCAGTTTTCTTTATTTTTGCTCACCAAAAAGTAGTCACGATTATAGGCAATATCTTCTATTCCAACTTCCAGCGAACTGTGTATCAAATCACGCAATGTCCGTATCGTTTTCGGTTTCTCCATCAGCAAAGTGCCCACAATGCTGGCCGAATAGAATTGATAGATGGCGAAAGCGAAGAGCAGACTGGTAATAACGATGCAGCGACCCGAAAAGAAACTTGTCGAAAATGTCAGTCCTAATGTTGGGCAACAGCAAGCAAGGAAGCATTCGATCGGTGCAAATAAATACATTGTAGAAATAAAGAACAATTAAAGTAGAAGAGTGAGAGTACATGCCAGCAAATGCAAGCAGCCACAGTTTTACGTAGTATTTTGTACATTCAGTGGCCGCCAAAATAATTCGGATTATGTGAAATAGGAAATACAGAACTCAAGAGGAAAGAGTAGACTTTTAGGCGTTCTGCATTTGGGTATTTCAAAACACAAGCATATAGCCAAGAAGTGTAGCATTTATCAGTTACGCATGTATTGACCTTAAAATTGTTCAACTTTTTTATCTAAAATTTTTTTTTTTTAATTTCAGATAATGTACATAGTTCTTGTGCGATTTTGTATATTCCCTAAAGCTCTGAAGTAATTAGCACTATTCCTATATTACCTTACAATTCTACGAACTTTTCACATTCTCCGCTGCCAATTGCGGAAAATTATACATCACCGCCAATACTAAGTACTTGCCATGTAATTTATCTACAGCTAAATAGTCGAATTACTTGCAGTTTCACGAAACTAAACTCTGAAGTCATTACCTCCGCATTGTGTGTAAGTCACTCATGCAACCACAATTATTCTGCTCACTTGCTTTTAGCTGCAATCGATTGGAGCCGTGAAGCGCATTCCCTTATTTACCAAAAACTAGGTATGCCGCTGGAGAACTAACATATGTTCATATGTATTCACATACCTTTAATTACATACTTACGTATGTGAATTATAGGTGCATTTTGAAAGCATCATGGCAGAGGCTAGAGACATTTGAAATGACTATGAAATGAAAATTAACTAAATTAGTTCTGGACCTTCAAGCCTTTTCTCGCTATTTTCAGTAAGCCCAAGACGTTTTTAATCAATCTATTAGAGTGGTACTTAAAATATCCACAACATGGGACACATACAATTTTATTTTATTCTACGTACCAATTGAAGGCATCCACGAAAATTTCAAAATAAAAGCTAAACTTTTGGCTTTGAAAAAATTTATTCGCCCAAATTTTTTTGCCCAGCTATAACTCAGCGAGTTTATGAACTTATGTGTTTTAATTTCAATTTTTTTTTTTTTTGTTTAAATTTTTTCAAAACCTGTTAGCGACCTCGAAAAATGTATTACAAATTTTGAAATTTTCATCGATGTCCTTATTTTTACGTAGAACAAAATAAGAAGGTGCCCCATAAAAAATGTGCATGCTGATAATTTGAGGACCACCCTATTATCTATAATTTTCTAAAATCATAGGTGGCAGCGTTGATGCTGATCAACTCGATAACTCGGTGCCATTTTCAGTTTGAGAGAACGAAAAATTACACTGAGGATGGCACAACATCAAAACCGGTTTGAAAATAAAAACAATTTTTTTGTCAAGAACTTCTGTAACTCATTCGCGGTAGGCCAGCATGCGACGTATTTCTGCCCACGAACTCTTACAGCGCTATTCTGAGCTGAGATTAAAAAGAAAAAAAAACGTAGTCGTGGCGCCACTCAGGCGAACCTTAGACTTCTGGGCTTATGAACTGCCTTTTGAAATTGACAGATGCTTATTTAGTTATAGTCTCAACGTGTTTACAACAGAGTGCACTGAATTTAAATCTCCAGCCATGAATCTTTTTATATCTCTCATGAACATAGAACGGATTAACACATGAAAAAGTATAACAAAATGATCGCATCGGTAAATTTTGTGTGAAGACCTCGAATCGACAACTGAAGCCGCGCGATGAGGGAGGTGCCTTTTGAAAGGGCCTGCTCCTCCCGGTTTTCTGTAAAAGCCAGGAGGAGGGCACACCGAAATCAGCCTTGAAACACTAGAACACCTGATAGAGACGACCACTTCTCTTGATGCGATAACGCAGGGGACACAGACACTCCTCAGACAGAACACGCTCGTACCCATCGGCTAGACAGTTCAGTCGAAAAAATTATCATTAGTCTTCCAACCCTATGAATCTCCGGGTCCGCATGGAATCATTCCAGCAATGCTACAACGAGTGCCACGATAACTCCCTGCCTAACGAGTCTCTCCCTTAGCTATATTCCTTAGCCATGGAGGGAGATAAGAGTGCTCTTCATTCCTAAAGTAGGGAAGATGGGCCACAGCACGGCAAAAGATTTAAGACCCACCAGCCACTCATCATATCTCCCAAAAATAATGGAATTCAGATCGCGCGACGCCTTACTCCTGAGAACTTCAGCGATGAACAGGATCTGGGTCTTTTCCCAGGAGTTCTCTTTGAGAGAGTCCTATAGACTCCCAGATCACTGCTATATGCCAACGACATTGCAGCAAAGCTAGTGAGCATGATCGACTTAGCTCCATCTGAACTTGTCTTCCTTGTTGGCAATCAAGTTGCCGTCAACGCCTTCGGGTTGGCAACGACTAACTCGATTTGCGTTAAGAAATTTCGAAGATCTCTACAAGCTCTACAGCAACACACAATCAATCTCTACTGGGTCTCGGAACAGAGCGATGTAGCGGACGAATGTTCTAGAAAGGGATCTGAGATGGGACTTGGGGAAACGATCCATATCGTAAAAGCACCCCTGCAATTTCTGTCCCCAGAAGTTGAGAGAGTGACCAGGGCAGCCGCCAACAGTAGGTGGAAAAATCTGCACACCTGCACGGTATCGCGCTCGCTCTGGCCACGGCTCGACGAACGAGGAGCTTGGAGTTTATTAAGGCTTTCAAAGCGAAACGTTAGGTTTCTCACAGGAACACTAACGAGACACTGGACCAATGACCACTCCAAGGAAAATACCTGAAAATTTCTTGGGGACCATTTCTTCGAGAGCCTGGATAACTTGGAGATAGCTCCACTGGAGAGACTGCTAGCATGCGCTAGAGATTCAAAATGGTTCAAAGGTATGTAGGGATAGGCATGGGGGAAACACCCTGGGCATCGCAATGGGGCTTTGTGACCTACGAGTGACCTCTTTTCAGAGCTATTCACTAAATCTAACCTATCCTGCTAATAAACCGCACAAAATCCACTGGGAAAGTCGTCAAATTCGGTGTCTAGTTATTAAGTATTTATATCTCTCACTGACTGTTCATATATAAGTTTAAGAATCTGTTTACTAATCGATCATAAAAGGCCGTCTGTGCAAATATTTTAGATTTGTTTTATAAGGTATAAAATTTATTTTCTTTTTTAAATTAAGCTTGGGATTTTTAAAAGACCTCTCGTATCGCCTTTGCCACACCTGCTAATCTTCAAATTACAGATATGTTCTTTCAAATCACAATGTAACCCTACTTTTCACTTAAACAGCCTTGCTTTGTAAATAGCATGGCAATCAAGATTGCTTTTGTACAAATCAAGCAAATAGTTCTTACACCCACAAACTCGGTAACAATTTGTGCAGTAATGTTTACAAAATGAAAGTCTTGCAACAAAGCCAAACAAGCGAAATTGAACCCAGCAACCTTAAACCGACCTAAGGAAATGAAGCAAAACTATACTATGTACTTAGTTATGAAAGCAAAGTAGGAAAGTAAACTTGTGTGCACCACCTAAATTGCGTTGCATGCCACACATGCCGACTCACATACACAAAAGCCAATAACACTGTGAGCACACAAACATACTACTTCCAAATATTTCGATAGTTTCCCACGTTTTATCAAAGTTCTTGCGTATATTAGATTTTCCACACCACCTCCCTGGGCGCGGCGTCATGCGACTTACCTTGCTGACAAATGGAACTAACGTAGAAAAGCACCGACTCGAAGAATAAGCTGAAACGCTGCTGCGTCACATCGGTGCTTGTCTGGCCGCAGCACGCACTGCCGCAGCCGAGCATGCAGGGCCTGCAGCTAATACGTTTCACATTCTTCCGTTCTTCCGCTTTGCGCTGCTGTTGCACCAACTTTCCCAGTTTGCCCATCTTTTGTTTCCGTTGCGCTTTTGTTGGCCCAAACAACAAGGCGGCGGCTGCGGCGGCATTATCGTTGCTGCAGCAATGCATTGTGCCACAGCCACTTGTCGTCGTCGTCGTCGTCGTCGTTCGTGTGGAACAGTAACGTCCTAGTAGTTCATCATTACCGCCGATTGCACTCTGTTGTTTGGCGGTGTTGTTACTCTTACTGCTGTTGCTGTTGTTGTTGTCGCGTACGCTTTGTCCTTTTGTGTCGCAGCATTCACAAGGGAGTCAGTCAATTGTTGGCATGAAAGGAGATATGGAAAGAAAAACATAGAGTGTGTGAGAAAGAATAAAAACATTTTTGACTTCGGGCGTTGCAAGAAATAACGCAAAATTCGCAAAAGCACTGCGCATACACCATACGTACGCAATGGAGCCGAGCATTTAATGGCAATGAGCTCCTCGCATTTTTCAAAAGCAAGCAAGCCTTCGTGCTGCAAACTTTTTGCAAACGATATTTGCTCAGTGCCCCAGCATGTCCTGCAGCAGCCATTGCAACTAATCACCAGCGCGATTGCCTACGATTGCTGCATACTGGCAATGGCAATCGATGAATGAAACTACCAAAGTTCAGGCACGACAACGCATACCAACTTGCAACTGACTAGCTGGTGCACTCACTGCACGTTCGTCCTCGGAGCTCTGCCCCATGTATCCTGTTGGCGTTTTGCCGCAATTTTGGCTCTTTGAATTGCTTGAAAATTGAAAGTTTTGATTTATAACGTCAGAAAGTTTTGCATTGTCTATCGGTTGCCCCTCACTGGCCTACAGAGATGGGTGTGTATTTTATGAAGGCGTCAGCGTAGAAGGTTATAAAAATTACTAAAGTGAAAAGAAAAATTTTGAACTTCATCGCAGATAAAAAAGGAATGGGCGCAAAATTTTATTAACGGAATAACTGGCAGTTTAATGAGATTTCATGTGTACGACAATGTCGAAGAAAATTGATAAATTTTATAGACGGACGTAGAAGCAAACCATTTGCTATAGATTCAAGGCTTACAGAAGGTTACTGACTTTGGCTAGGGCGAAGTTTGAGTTTCTTTTTTAAGGCATTTTTGCAATATCGATTAGAAGAAGTGTTGTGAGTGCTAGCTGTACTCAGATATGTATTATATATATTAGGGTGGTTCTTAAAAATATCGAAATCATAGGGCAGCGCTTTATTTCGTTATACATACGTACAAAGTAAAACTTCCACGAAATTTTCAAATTTGAAAAAAATGTAAGTGTTGCTAGCCGTGTTTGAAAAAATTTGATTTTCTTAAATCGCAAAAATTCGACAAAATTTTGATCTGGACAAAGTCAGCCACTTTATGAATTTATACGAATAGGTTTCAGTACGCTGAGTTATAGCTGATCATAGTCAAAAATTTTCTCGAATTTTTGCGTTTTAAAAAATTTAAATTTTTGAAACCACTCAAATTATTGCAAAATTTCGTGGATGTGTTTATTTTTTAGGAAGTACAGAGTAAAGGGGTGCCCCGTACACAATTTCGGGCTTCCTATTTTAAGGACCCCCCTACGACAAATGTCTTTTTATGAGAAGTTGCTGCTGCCATTGGCTGCCGAGGGGCGACCGCTGTTAGAAAAAAAAGTTTTTATTTTTTTTTTTGCTCTAAACATCGCCTTACCGAGTGGAAGTGCGCACCTCTAAGCACACAGATACGGCGACAGCCATGGTGAGTGGTGTCGGGATCAAAGAATCTCGGGAAGCCGGTACCTGCACATGTTGGTCGTTCGGAGACTCTAGACGTAGGTGAGAGCCGTTACAAAAAAAAACGTGTGAATGTCGCGGTGGGGTGGCTCAGACAATGGTGGGAGCCAGTAGTTGACCTCTTGAGTAATTTGATGGCTCTAGCCAACGATAGCCATATCGTATATATCAAAGAGGGCCAGAGTGGGTAAGTCGGCCAATAAAGCCATGGCCACAGTTTTTTGGCTTGGCAAAATGATCACTGGCAAATATTATATATACTAGAGCAACAGAAGCCAAACCAACAATTTTCAGAAATTTTGTCTATCTGTATTTATGTATGTTTGTACGCGCATCACTCGAAAACTAATGCATAGAAGCGAATGCAGTTTTCACCCATGCATTGCTTAAGGTCTAATTTAAAATATAGAAAAAATGATAATTAGAGGGTCGCCACCTCTTTGAAAATTGCAGGTGAAATAAATTGATAAGAGTAAGTACATATTGCAATATGGCTGTCAAAAGTAACAGGTTTAAGAAGGCTTATAGTCGAAAATATTTTGGTGGAAGGTTGCCATCTTTTTGAAAATTTTAATTTGATTACATTGATACAATAAATTAATTATTGTAATATGGGTATCAAACTAAAGAGGTTTAGAAAAGTTTAATGTGAAAAATATTTTTGAGAGGGGATGCCACCTGTTTGAAAAAATTTATTCAATTATTAAATTGATAAAATAAATGAAATATTACAATGCAAGTATCAAACTAAAAAGATTTAAGACAGTTTACTCCCAGAAAATTTTGTAGCGGGTTGCCACCTATCTGTCTAACTTTTATTCAGGATTTTTCGAAATTTATTTTATATGCAGTTTTATAGCCCATTCAATAGCCATGACAATTTTTTTTTTTTGATGGTACTAGGTATTCTCTTCCGTATAAAAAAAATTTAACATACTTTGTAGCCACTTGAAACTTTAACTTTATTATACTAGATTTGAATGGATAATAATATAAACCTTCATATTAAAAAATTGTCTAAACATTCAGAGTAAAAATTTTTAAATTTTAGTGAAAAATTTTTGAATTTTTATAATTTGTGTAAAAAGATTGAAGTGTGGGTTAATATGTTTTTTGTTGTATAACTAGCGAGACTTTCATAAAAAAGTATTAACCATTAAATAAAACAAAAAAATATAGTCAAAACTGGTCAAAATATGACGAGTCTCTTATTTTTTCCAACAGTGTAATCCATAACAAACATAGAAGAAATGTTACTAGCCGCCGTCAACTAACTCAATGGATATTATCGTTATCTTGAGACAAGGACCAACCAGTGCCATGTCCAGATGGCTAGGGGCGTCTTTAAGCTCGTCGTTTTTAGAGCAAGGAATTAGCCAATGGCCTTCTGCTAAATCGAAAGTTATTTTTCTTAAGATTTATTGTCTAATTATATCTATGTAAGTGTATTTACCTTCCTAATTCCTTCAGTTGTTCTTGAGCTTTTTGTAGATTTTACAAAACTGTACCACAGTGCAAGCAGTGGTTATAACTTATACCTTCAGGTTCTGCAACAAATTTAAAAACTACAAATTTTATCTCTCCTCCATGCTCACCCAATTTTTCTACGACCCCCAAAGCCTCTAAGCGTCTTTCGACCGTTGTCAATAACCACAGCAAGCATATGGTAAAGATGCCACAAAATCCTAATGAAATCCAAACGGTATTTGAAAAGGGTTGCAAAAATACGATACGATCCTTTTTGGTGCTTGGCGGATGACGAAATATGAAGCAAGGTCTGAAAATTGAAATAACATATTTGAAATGATAATTGAAAACTAAAATGTGTACGCTTGGGTATTTAATAAATAGGTACCTACATATATGTATGTTTACAAAAAGATAAACCCAATTCAACTATGCTATCGCACACCACTACAAAGCTTATCACAAAATACTATTCAGATTCACCGAGGCCAAACGCAGCACAGGTGAAAAGCCACAAAACATAAATCTTATTTTACACCATGAAATTAAATCAACCAACATGTCCCCAGCAGGATTTAGTTTCAATTAATGTGTCAATCTTATGCGAGTACGTGTTGAACTGTGTAAATATGTATGTATAGACGCTTATCTATGTTTATTTGTGTAAGCAGTGTGGACTGAACAAATTGCTTGTCGGACGCCATGCCTTGCCTTGCCTTGTTTTTTTTTACAACCAACTGCCGCCAAACGTCCGCCCACTACATACACACATACATACACACAGACACAGAGCGTCTCATTGCCACTTAAGTTGCTGTCAAGTCAGTGTTGTCGTGACCTTTCTACACTCAAGGGAGCAACAGGAGCACATCTAAGCAAGCGGCAGGAGTAATGGTGGCAGGCATTAAATTGTCGTTTACACAGCTGGAGGTGGAGCGGAAAATTATTTTAAACCAAAAAAACAAAAAAAAAAGAACAAGCAGACACTAACAAACAAAACACACAAAAAGCAAACACAATATGAATACTAAAGTCAGCGCAAGAATGCAGTAAGCCACGCAAGTGCAACTACACCTCGCCGCACGCACACGTGCAACAAATCACACAGCTCGATAAGGCTGATAAGAGGCAAGTCGATGGTGAGTGTGACACGGGCAAAAATTGAGCAACGCATAAATTTGCTGCGCTTAAGAAGAAAAATGAGTATTTAATCGGCCATTCATACTCACTCATACATAACGGGACTAAGTATGTTAGGGTGCCACAGCGAAAAATGATTACTATTGCGTTAAGCCAATTTGACAATTTTTTTTATTATATTTTCGGAAATAACAAAACTTATCCGATTTTAATGAAATTCGGTTTTTATCTGAGCTTTAACCAGAAAAGTATAAACCCGAAAAATGGTCGAAATCGGCCACCTGCGCGCCAACTAATCATAAAAAATCCATTTATAAAAACCAAATTTTATTAAACTCGAATAACATCCACCATACCCGCTTCTTATTGTAGTGGATGAAGAAATTCGCCAATATATGCCAATTGTTGTTCCTACTTGAAAAATTTCAGTAAAATCGGATCTCAATTACTACTTTTTGCCACAGCATATATCGACACCTGAGTAGAAGATCGACCTGTCTCGGCTGCTAGAAACACACATGTGCTCAGAGAGCGCTCAGTGAGCTATGGCCTGCCGACCACTGCTTTTAATCATATAAATGTTGTCAGCTCTGAAAAAACTAGGAAAACTGATGAATTCTTGTTAAAGACCGACAATTTTTATACTATTAAACTTGGTACTAAAGATGAAAAAAGAAAAAGCCTTATACCATGTTAGTGGGCATGTCTAGAGTCTAGCCAACCACTTATTTTGCTATTTTGAGGCATTTCAAAACTTAGACTTTCTGCCTCTATGAGGCCACTGTGAAACGGCATGTCTAAATTAAGGATCCCCGAAAAACTAATAATTAGAGTGACGTTGAGCCCAACCGCGCTGTTTGAAATCAAGTGAAGTTGTAGAAAAGATGATTCACTCTTGTGTGTGCTTTTTAATATGATGCTGGAAAGCATAATAACAGCTGTCAAACTGTGAATTGCATCGGCATCATATTAAATATAATTACGACGCTGTTGGCGTTTGCAGGTGATATTTGCCTCGTCGGACTGAGAACCAGGGACGTCAGTGAAATATTTTCCAGCTTAGCGGTGAACGAGGACAGTACATAGTACCTCCTTGCAACACATAAATAGTCTTCACGTATTGGGTCACGCGCGACTGTTGGCAGTCATAACTGTTAAGTAGTGGAGGACTCTGTCTACCTAAGATCTAGCATACACCACCAACTATGTCAGCCCGGAGATAATAATCTTGCCAACAGGTGCTATTTTTGGGATTTGTAGATAAATGAAAAGCAGAGCTCCCTCGACGAAGAAAAATTACGCGCTACAAAACCCATATTCGTCCTTTTATATGGCGCAGAAGCATGGCCGCTGTCCAGCAAATCGAGAGAACTACTCTATTTATGATCAATGGTGATGTTGGCGTGTCCGACGGGTACTAAAGAAGATGGAATGAAGAACTGTACGAGCTTTTTAATGACATGGATATAGGTATGTACTTAAGTGTATAAAAATACAACGATAGTGCTAGCTTGGGTATATTGTACGCTGGTGAAAGGATACTTCGACTTGGCTTTCATGGATGGACAACAGCAGAAAGGGCGCCCATAAACACAAAGAAAGGTCCCAAGTGCAGAGGCATCTGTCTGCACTGGGGATGTACAAGTGGCGCATCCTCGGAAAGAAAGGTAATTGGCGAGGTTTTTAGATCTTGGCCTAAACCGACGAACGGCTATCCAAACAAGAAGAAGAAGAATACGGGTGAGTTATTTGCGAGCTAGACGTTATTGAAAAGATAAAGACATATACTATATATAATATATATGAAAACTTTTGTTTCCACATAATGTCTTTATGCGATACGAGTATGTAACTTATAAATAGGTTGTTCTGCAACAAAGGGTTTATTTGAAATAAGCCCTCAAAATAAGCATAATGATATTTTTATGAGATTTCTAGTATCTATTCTAGTATTCTCTTTATGGTTCCTTGCACCAGACGAGCGCAGCGTATGTTAGGATGGGATTCCAGTTGGTTTCATATATTCAACTAACAAATTAGCGTCATGAGAGCTAATTATCAAGAATAACTTCCAGATATTTTAGTGTTTAGAGAAGTGTATCTATTCGACCTCAACAAAATGGGTGTAACAGTTTATTACTTTTACTCTACTTTATTAGGCTTGACGTTTATCCGTTTTTATTGAAGATATTTGACAATTATTTTCCGTGCACTCTATGGAAGATTTGCGATAGTGTTTTCAAACCTACATCTGATTAGAATGGCAATGCCATTCGTGTGGCCCTTAACATCGAAGCCCTTTTCAGTAAGAAGGCCGAGTAGTTCGCCGACTACAATCGATCATAACAGAGGGAAGATCACTTCACCCGCGGACATCTTTTCGTTACTAGGAAGCTCAATCTTTCCTGCCTTAGATTAAAAGATATGGAACCGGTGTTGGGGAGGCCAATACATTTGCAAAAGGACATAATTTTCTATTAGATAGTGTGCCGCGTTACCGAAACAACCTTCTAGGTCCACGAAGCAACCCACGGCCACCTCCTGGTTGTTCGTGGCCCATTAAATTTTTCAGGTTTCTTATTTGTTCCAATGCTAAATGACAAGAAATAAAACCAGCGGACTACAATCGGCAACAATTTCAGGGTCATTGTCTGGGGCCGGAATGATTCCATTACAGAATGAAAGGCATAGACCCTAAAGAAAAAACCTCCACATCGTTGAACACTCTCAGGATTTTTTTTTTCATGACCATAATAATATTACAATTTATTGCCTGCATGTTTTTAGAATAAGTAGAAAAATGGGTTAAAATTAATATCGGAGGGAAACAAGTAGTTCGGGAGCCTATAGCAAAATTTCACGACAAATAGTTTTGTGGAATATTTTAACCCACTGGCTCATTCGTAGTCGTTTTTACCCCTTTTTTGGAACGACTGATTAAAATGGCATTTGGGAAATCGCCAGAGGATTAAAAGATTAAAAAATCATTCGGCAGAAAATTTCACAAATTTCCACAGAAAAAAATTATGCTTTCTTTTATATTTTTATCGCGAAATTTTTCACCGATAAGTGCATGAAATAAGAAGAAAAATTTGTCACCCTAAGGCAATATGCAAAAGTAGATTTTTTTTTTGAAAAATATCCAAATTTTTGTTCATGAAGTGGGGGACACTCTAATGCTTATATGTCTGCATAAATGTGTATACTCACGCCCGCCAAAGCCGACTAATACGCAGACAAAAGTATTTTTGCACACAAGTGGGTATATTAATACGAACAAACAAATACCATTGTACACACTTCTTGCCCGCTATGACTTTTTGCTTGCGATATCGCTGAGAAGATTTATGTTTGTCAACCGCAAAGGGCAAACATACAAACATTTATCGCGGCAACAATAATACTGGCAACAGCTATATACATTTATAAATATACAACATACAAATAAAGAGCACAACAGCAACAACTGTTGACAATAACGGTAATACGAACAAGAAAAAAAACACACACCGCTCAAGTGTTAAACGGCAGGTCTCGCTCCGGTCGTTTTAATATCATTTTTCATGCCATTGACAGCTTACAATATGCGAAATTAAATAAACCACAACAACAATAAAGGCAACAAGAGCAACAAAAGGTGACAGGTGAACCAACCAGCAATAAAGGCATTAGGGAAATAACACCAAAGTTGTCCGCACGCTTATAGGCCACAGCCGCCGGGCTGTTGCGCGGTATCGCACGCCCATCACTCAATTGATGCTTTCAAGTGCAAAGCTTTCAACAAATTGCTTTTTAAAATATTCTAAAAAAAACCGCAAGCAATAATAACAGTAACAACAACAGCAAAAAAATTTCAATGCTGCTTAAACCGCAAACAATTTTTTGGGGTAACAATTACAACAACACCTTTAACAATCACTCCAATCACGTCCGGCCGCACGCCACGGGCCTAAGTTGTTGGTAAGAGTAGGTACACCACTTTTTTACTCTAACAGCAACACCAACCACAGCGTCTAAATAAGCAAATAAAATACCTGTCACTAACTACACTGGCCATGGGCATCCTTACCAGCTGCACTAACATAAAAAAAACAAACAAAGCAAACCGGCTGCTCTCGGCCTGCCTTGCTGGCTTAAACTCCTGCTACTGAACTTAGCTGAACTGAACGAACTGCTGCATTCCTCTCATTTTACAATTTATCATTTTCACTCACCTAGCGTTCATTTCCCTCTCGTCTAGCACCACTCACCTGGCCACCCACGTACGTGTCGTGTAATCAATCACTTTGGCACGTTCGATGCGAAAGAAAATCGGCGAACCACCAATATCCGCTTGTTTGCGTACCAGCGCTCCAATCATTCCATCGAATTTGCCATTCTTCAGGTAGCCCCAGGAGGCAGTTTTCGATAGCACAAAACTGGAAAATGAAAGCAATTTTTTTTTTGGTTTTGCTATTTTGCACAAACGTGCGCTGTTATATAATTATTTATGGTAATTGGATTTTGAATAATTAAATTTGTTCTCTAAAATATAAAAATTAGAATTAAAAAAATTACACATCTTTTTCCTTGCTAAAATGGAAATTAAAATTGCACAAACATACATACCCATTTACGTTTGTATATACTTAATTGATTACTTTAGATGTCGGTTTCAAAAAATTATTTATTTCAGTTTATTTAGAACAAAAAAAAAACAAAAAAAAACTTTTTATAAAGGGAACGTTTAATCAGCTTGTGGGGAAATAATTCAATTAATTTTGGATTTTAAATGTACTTAGTTAGCTTTCTAAATATACCATCCGAAAAAAAATAGCAACTGTCCAATGCATTCCTTCGTCCTTAAGCAACACGGTGGACGACCAAGAACCACCAGAATAAACCCCCAAAATGCTGTTCTTTCTAAGCCGACCATTTCTTCGACTGTCCTTGGAGCGATAGTGCTTGAGCATTCTGAAGAAGTAAAATAACTTGAAATTATCCTTCATAAGAGACTAAGCTGGAACTTCCGTCTGTACGAAACCCCAAGCTATTTGGGACTGTTGGAAACTGAACTCGATTTTCCGACTATCCGTTCAGAGAAGTGGTTCAACTGCGGCCCTAGATTCGCTGATCGAATGGACTCCACTCCATACTTTTTGGCTTAAGCAGAAGCTGACTCGAAAAAGCTGCAAATGCAAATGAATATCTGGCAGTGTAGAAACATAAATATATTTTTCTTAAATTACTATAACTGGTTTTCCGACTGCTTGGTTAAAGAAAGCCAGAACCCAGAGGCCTGTGAAAAGGGATTGACTTCTTGATCCCAGATAAGTGCATTGGTACACAGGCGAGTCAAGAATGGAGGAAATAAATCGAGCGAATTTTTATGAGCCCAGCACTATAGATCCAATTTCAATGGGGGATGGACCAAAGTCTTCCACAATGATTCTTTAATCGCATTTTAAAGTAGTTTTTATAGTTATCTTTTAAGGCAGTAAAGCGGTCATCAGAGTCTCATCCATTAGGATGGTTACCCCAAGGCTGGTTAAGGAGAGTATCTCAAATACTTTGAAGTCTTTACAGCAAGAAATGCGGTAACAATGACTGCGTTACGAATAGCGAAGTATGTAAGTAGACTTAAGACCAAAGAAGTTGAAATGCTATCAAGCAGAAATGCGGTCCGAAAATGTTATCGGTAAATAAGGCCGGTTCGGTTCCTGCAAAGACGGGAATGGAAAACTGAGATGTGTAGGAAATACTCTTCAATGCCTTTGAAAAACGACTCCGATTGAGCATTTGAGGACGAAGAAGGCGAAGTTCACGTGACTCCATTCGTTTAATACGAAAGGAGAACAGCAATAAAACTACTTAAAAACAACTATGTAAGTACGACGGCTAAGCCTGAAATTTGGAACCCCTGACTATTCCTTATTTACGCTGATTTACGCCAACTTTAGCAGCGTTATCATGCTTAAGCCGTCTTATAGGGACATATGAACTAGAATTTGGGAAACACTGAAGCCTGTTATGACCCATTTTATTGGTTTGACTTCAGGTCTGGCAAATCCATTCGTCACATCGTTTTCGACTATGTGTCTATGTACATATGTAGGATGGCGTTCTCTAGCTCCACACGTACTCAGAACTTCATATTCCATTTTTTTTTTCATAAAAACTGCACAAATTTTAAAAGAAAATTAGGAAATTACTTGCATACATATGGATTAAACTTCGATTCGCTACAGTGCATTCGTACGAAGTCTATGCATCAGGAGTTTCTCTTAATCATTTCAGTGAATGCTGCACCACAAATAACTCGCTATACACACAAATAAAAAGCGCTGCGCATTTCATTTCATTCTCTTATTACAACAGGGAAATCTTAATTTTCAACAGCACCACTTCATAGTCGTACACACCAACAACAAAAGAATTTAAACACTAACTATTCCATCGACTGCTGCATCAATGGCTGTTTCGTATTTCGTAGAGTTGTATCAAAGATTGCCATTGACATGGCCGTGGTGGAGAGAAGGGATAACTAAATATGTACTACGAAAAGTGACGAAGCGTGTTAGAGTAATTCTAACATTTCTATTTACGAAATGTTGCCACCCACATTTAATCAGCGCTGCAAAGAGCTAGTCAAAGTTCCATGGGGCAAGACGAAGTAGGGAGTACAAACCAAAAAAAAAAACACTAAAATAAAGAGTGTGAATAAACTATTTAGGGCATTTTGATGTAGAAATTAAAATGGGGTATCGGTAGATGTGCTCCAAGTGGCAATGGGTTTGGAAAATCGCAAAAAAAATCGCAGATTTCTTTTTATTTTTTTTTTTTGTTTTTATCTATAAAGCACAATACTTACATATATTATTGAGAAAGGGTTTTAACGAACCTGAAATTGTACAAATCCCTTACGTGCGAAAGTAGAGCGAAATTGAAGCGATTCATTGAATCCAAATGCGTATCATAGCGTGTTGTTAGATAATGCTCCAGGGTATCTGTAAAATTTTTATTTGTTACCTGCAAGAAAAAAATTCAAAAAAAAATAGTATTAAAAGAAATGGGCGAAAGAGTTGTGATAAATGACAGGCGTTCTGACATATATACATGCATACATACATACATTGCTAGTTATGAAAAAGCAGCTGAACATGCCACACAATGTTTTTAAATTAAATCCTTTCAAATACACACAGTTGTATTTTTAAATTTACAAAAAAGCGGCGACAAGTGCCTTTAGCCTAGGGAATACAAATACAAGAACATTGCAAAGATGTGGGCACCAAATACATGCATTTATTTGGTGGTGTGCGCCTTGGTTTTGGTGGTGGTTTTAAGCCGATCCCGAGAAGCTCTTTCATGGCAGAAATACACTCTGAGGCTTGTCATTGTTTGGCAGAGAAAAAACAACATTTTTTAGATGTTAGTCGATCCGAGAATCAGACCTACGACCGGTTGGAAGCACGTACATCGGCTACGGCTCAGTCGACAGGTTTCGCATGGGGCAAACCACTTCAAGTGTAACCATAAAAGTCCATCTTTCCCTGATTTTAAGTTAAGTTGGTGAAGTTCTTTTATTTATAGGCCAATTGACATACAGTGGTGCCAAACTGGAATTTATTTGTCAAACACGATTTTTGAATTTTTATTTGTTCCTCTAAATAAATGATACAAAATAAAATATGTTGAAAGGTATTATGGAGTTCCCCAACACGAAAAAAATTTAATGCGCTATAATACTGCATACCTAATTTTTTTCAACTCTTGTTTAAATAAAAAAATATGTGAAATTTTTTTATAAATTTGAACTTTGTTTTACGCTTTTCAAGGGAACCCGGACATTTATTTATGTTCACCTAAAATCAGAGACCAAAATATTTAATCTGAAAATAGCGGTTATGTTATGATCGAAAAAATAAAAATGATAAAATAACAGTTAAATTTGGTGAGATCATAACCTTTACGGTCCCTGCCTAAAACTGATTTATCCCATGGACCAGAAACAACTGTTTTTTTTTTTGGATCATTGCAAAGTCGTTATTTTTTGTTTTCATTCTTCGATGAAGAATAATCTTTAAATATGCATTTTTTTTTGTCAAATCAAGTCGTTGTTTTATGATTTTTTCCAATCGTTTTTAACCGATATATTGTATGAACTAAAAACAACGGTTATATTATGATTTATAAAATTTAAAACCAAAACTAATGATCAAAAATTTATCGAATAAATATATGTCAAATTTTAACTGTTAAATTATGATTTTTATTAAAATGATCATAACGATTACGGTTCCTGCTTTAAATCGATTTATGCATTTCAGTAGAAGAAAAATATAATATTAACTCGTACCATATGACCAACTACTAGCGATTGCCCGGTAAAGACTCCCGAGAATTGGCACCTAGCCAACTGAAAAAGTTCTCTTGATTGTCCGTAGTCAATGCATATCGAGGCGACGCTTTGCCCATAACTTCTTAACTAATGAAGACCCTGGAAAACTTTCCAGAAGATAGCCCTATACAATATAATTTTCTGGTTTAAGGTTTATACATATAGTATTTAAATTATCTTTAGAAAGAGAGATCTTACCTCTTCTCAATAGAACAGGCGAGAGTACGCTGGCCTCCCTCCCCCTGTGGAGCCAGTGCACGTAGAGGCTGCAGTTCTTTTGTCCTACTTTGCTCTCCTATTTCCTACCGAGTTCAAGGTAGCACCGATTTACAAGAGTTATTCTTCGCTCCATCTACAGGCTAGCATTTTTGGTGCTGCTTATACTGGTTCCTAGGTAGCCAAAGTCCTTCACTACTTCAAAATTTAATTTTTTTAAAAGGCTTCTGTTTGACGCCATGTTGAAACTAAGCAACTCAACCAGCGATCGTAGAAGCTTTCTTGATTCTTGAAATTCCGCTATCTTTTTAGCTTTTTTACGACGCACTCATTCATGCTGCAATCAGTGTTTAGCTTCAAACTAAATTTCCACTCAATTGCTTGGGAATTCGAACATTTCCAGTGCCTTTAGGGTAAACTAACGGTCTCATAAGTTTTTTTTTGCAGGTACGCAATTTATTTAACTATTGACCACTCTATGTATTTTCATAAATAGATCAATGCACATAACGCAATTTCTAGGAGAAGTTTGTCCACACAACCAGCAAAAGATATTTGTACTATGTATGTCCCTATATTTTTTTTTTTGTGCCAATCAACTGCGGCGATTATAAGTTCTACTGCATATATAGAAATACTTATGTACGTTGATATGATTTACAGTTCTAACATAAAAATCCTTTCATCTCAGTTCTTCTATTCCGCTTGGCAGCCGTGAAGCCTCAGCTGTCATTTAGCATCAACGCTTTGGGATATACATATGTATTTACGAATTTACTCGAAAACTACATATATGTCCATTCTCATTCCTACATCGCGATGTATGTACAGTAGCGTGCCTCGCCGAAAAAAAATTTGAATTTTTTAATCAGAATTATAAAATTTATTCTATTTTAAGATTTTTGCCGAAATATTTTGAAAAAGTACTAAAATTTACGAGAGCAGGATCGATTTGAAAATACCTCCAAAAATTCTAATTTTTTTAACTAATATACATTTGAAAAATATTTTTCCAAAAAGCATCACCTCATATGCTGGAGGAGTTTAAGCTTAAAAAGTCTGCATAAAGATGTTTATAAATTGTGTCAACGGAATCAAAATAGTGCAAATCTTAATATTTTTCCGAAATATTTTTGAGGATGTCTTTAAATATAAGTAATTTTATAATTCCACTGAAAAAACTGTACCGATTTCTTTTTTTTTTTTGTCTGGCGAGTGATGCACCCTAATGTACATATTTCTGTCACCTATCTTATCTGCGACAAGTTGCAGAGTTGAATACAAATCAAACACACACTTTGCACTCGCATTAGCACATATGTGTGCACACATACAAGTACGTATACAATTCTGCAACCATTTGAAATCTTCTTGCCGCAGGACAACGCACAACACAGGGACATACATACATAGTACGTACTTCCACTTGGGAAATCAAAGGACATTGTGACACCAGGCAAACAACAGAGCAATTGCACACATAAAAACATACTACATATACATAGCATACACTTAGCATACAAATGTGTGTATATAACTATCAAATCACATCGCTCCTTTTCGCACACACATTCACATTCTAATCACACAATTGCCAGCTCCTACGCAATCAACTAAGCGTTTTCAAATATTCGCCTGCTCAACATTTATTTGTTTATTTATTTGCTATTGTTCAATAGTTTTTTTCTTTCACTTCTTTTTATTCTACACATTTCTTTCTTCAGCACTTGCCAAACCACTTACATATGTGCCACACTGTTTCCGCTTTTTATCCCCATTAAGCAGCAACATATCTTCACTAAATTTTCGCCTTGTGGCCATGTTGCACGTGTATACATGTAGCACGTGTATGTGTAGCAAGTGCAAATACGAATGCTTCTAATACATACACACATACGTATGTAGACTGTATGCGTGTCCTTATTGAGTACTAAGTATACTACGGACTACTTACCACAATCAAGCAACGGATGCGTGCCATCTTCATGTCCATTCGCCTTGTAATTGTGGTCGATCTCCGATACCAGAGGGCAATTTGTAGACCATCATCAAGTGCGAAATATCCAATTTCCGAAATGTTCAATTGGCCGCCATATTGTTGTCCTGGACTCCTATTGTGCACAACAAATACTCATATATTTAGTATATATATGTATATAGCTATTTACAAACAAACAAACAAACAATCAAATGCATAGCTAACTAAACAAATGGTCAAACAAACATAGGATTTTCTGTCGATTTTCCGCTCGTTTTGTGTTGTGGCCGATTTCTTCGTAGATTTCCGTATTATTATTTTTTTTGTCGGTAAATAGCCAGCCCATTTTCATTGGCACGACCTTTTTTGGCAAAAATGTTGTTTGCTTTGGCAGTTCATTTTATTTTCATATTTGCTCTAGGCGACACAGTTGTCAAATAAGGGTATTTGAAAATCACTTTTTGGCAAAGATTTAATTCATTGTATTTGCGAAAGCGACAGCTTGATATACATGTACATACTTATTTGTAATTTCTTTCATTTTCACGAGGTTTTCACTGATTAGGTGTAATGAAATCACAACCAAATACCTACAGTGGCTACCAAAAGTGAGTGTATTGTGTTTTTTTCTTAAATATTTGCAACGTTTTTCAAGTTAAATTTTATTTTTTTTGTTATTTTTTTATAAAAATATATTTAATGCTTTAATCAAAACCACAAACAAAGTCAAATTTAAAGACTTTATACAAAACTTAGATTAGAATTCAACAAATTTTCGCCTAAATTTTGAACTTTTTAATCTAATTCCGTCGGAAAAAAATTCATTAAAAATCAACGCGATTTTCAGCCGCTTAAAACTTTCACTTTTTCACTAAAATTACATAACTGATCTGTCTGCGTACCCAAAATTATTCTAAAAATTCAGATTAAAAAGGTCAATATGTAGATGAAAATTTATTGAATTTTTCTATGTTCTGTATGAAGTTTGAAAATTGACTTATGTGGTTACGATTAAAGCATGAACCATATTTTTGTAAAAAAAAAAAATTACAAACAAATTTTTACTTGAAAAACGTTGCAAATATTAAACAAAAAACACCATGCACTCACTTTTGATTGCCAATGTATATGTGGAATGAACAACTAAATAAAAATAATTTTTTAAATTTTCATTTTTCCTCAACCTAGATGAGTCGTAAAATTTGAATGCAGGGTCCGTAAATAAACACCAAGTACAAAGATTTTATTATTTGTTTTTTTTTTTCGATCGAGAAGATTCGCTAAATCTTAGTTTTTATTTTTTCGCTGAAATTTAATTGTTAGTTATTTTGTGATTTTTATTTTCTTCGATAAAAAATAACCCTTGTTTTGGATTTTTTTCGACCATTTTTAGCAGCTGAGGTTTTATGACCTTAAAAATTTTACCTCAAAATAACGGTAAGAATATCATTGAAAAAAACATAAAACAAAAATTACGATTAGTTTTGATGGAAAAAATAAAAATCATAAAATTACGGTTATATTTTATGGGGAAAAAATTAGTTCAATTTAGCGGTTAAATTTTTATTTTTATTATAAAAATCATAACCGTTACGGTCCCTTATTTAATGGGTTTCGCGGTGTTTATGATATTGAAAACTAATATATAGCGCAGTAGGGAGTAAATAGAAATATTCGTATTCACTAATAGTTTTCCCGATATTAATCAATAAATTGGGGCAATTTTTTTTTTTAGTCAAAAGATTGGTAAAATGCAGCTATTTTCTATTGAAAAATTTCAACAAATTATTTTTCGTGATTGCGATAAAGAAAAATATTTGGGTATTCACAAAATTGGAATAGGATTTGCACCAAATTTCGGCAAATACCGAATCGTGTGACACTGCCTTTAAACTTTTATTTATATTATACGGGTATTGTTAAAGAGTAAACTATAAAAAAAAACTTACCAAAATTAAAGAACAACAAAAATAATATTTTACTTGTCAAAATTTGGTGCGGCTATAATAATTTCCACTACTGCTGACTATGATTACTCGGCCGTACTATCATAGTAGCACAATGCAACTAATATTTGACTTACAAACAAATACGGGCACGAATTTCAAAATTTCAACCCTGTTTTTATGAAAAATTTTATTTTTTATTTTTTTCAGTATTTTTCTTTTAATCAAACTATGTTGAAATAAAAGTGAAAACAAAAAAATATTTTGAGGGAAAGCCACGCCCCCAAAAAAAAATCCTGCCTACGGCTTTGGTCGCAATTATGTGTAAATCTCATTTAAGAGTCAAAGTTACTGACAGGCCATGGCGTATGAGTGACCACAATATCTAATATATGAAGGGTGTCCGATAATTTACGTCAGATTTAAATTGATTAGAAAATACATATCTTTATAACTGTAGTTTTTTTTTAATTTTAACATTAAGTACATATGATACATATGATAGGGTTATACTTGCCATTATGTCGAATTTTTTTTTGTCAAAAGATTATGGTCCAATGACAACTACAGCTCAAAATCCGCACCGAAGTTTGCACTTCTGTTGAAAAGTCAGGATTATTAAGTTCGCTCAGTTGAGTACTGACAAAAATATTGGTCAGTGCTGACATAAATATTGGCTACTTTAATATAAACTTACTAACTAATTGATATTGGTATTGGTTAGTACTGTATTCATCTTCTTTTTATTTGGCCCCTTAAATTTCATTCTGGCTACGCCGATGTCTTTCCCTGAAAAAATATATTTCATCCCCATTTTTTTTTTTTTTGGCCGCGGCAAAGATGGTATTTAAATACATACAAACACACTCCACCTTAAATTTAAATACTGGATTTTTACGGAGAAGTAACTCAAATGGGGACCAATTTCTAGATTTGTTTCTTACAATTTCAATAATTTGCAACTAGAACTTTTGCTTGGTTTAAAATCTATGACAGTCTAGCGAAAACTATCTTTTAATCCTTATCACGGTTAAAAAACCTTTTCTGTAGAAAATATATATGTATGTAACCCTCCAAACTACCCCAAATTATGTGCCCTCTTCCCACAAAAAAAAAACCAAAAGTCAATCGAAACACATTCAATAACTTAGTATGTAATTTTACCAAGTATCAACTTGATATTTTTTTAATATTTCCTTTGTCACTTTAAATTCAAGATCTTCTCCTTCTCAAATGCCTATTAATGTCAAAAAGCAAACTTTGAAAACGCGTAAAATTTTTCAATCAGCAAATTGAAAAACTTTCGTTTAGCAACACATACACGTTTCGCATTTCCCGTAAAAGTTTACAAAAGATTATTGTCATCGGAATTGAAAAAAAAAATATTCGAGAGCGCATGCGACATGTAAAAACGTGCGCGCAAACAAACAGCTTCGACGTAGCAACATATGTTGCCAATACTCAATACAAATCTGTCTGTATGTGCTTTAAAGCAAGTATGTATTTGTACGTGTGCGTGTGTGTGTCTACGAGACTTTGGAAAGCAGCCATATCCTTTTTAATGAGTATATCTTACGTCCTTGTAGCCACTTTCAGGTCTGTACGAGCGATGACAAAAAAAAAACATACACCAGATATATGTATGTTTGTGCATACATATGTATGTATAAAATGAAACTTACCAAACATCGTAGAGCTGGTAGTAATCCTTCCTTTGAAGTGTGTTATTAGTAGCGCTTTCACTGTCAGCCGTGCAGCGACCGTCCCTTCCCGAACGCACTCCACCACTGCCGTTTTTCGCTGCTTTGCACAGTGTTGCGACTGCATTGATTTAGATGAAAAAAAAGTTACTTGGGAAAACTTGTAAAAAAACGTGTGTTGGGAGTGGTTTTGAGCGAGTCTTGAGATGAATGTTTCTCCTCACAATATCGTGAGAAATGAACGAAACAATAAAGTGTCGTAAAGAAATATTTTTTAATAAATATCAGCTATGAAAGAAATAAAAAATAATGAAGACACAAACGTGAAGACAAAATCGAAGATAAAAACAAAAACTGAAAATAAAGGGAAATACATGTGAGCAAATCTCACGAGTTGTTTTTTTAGTGCCACTTCCTCCTCTCGCCAGAAAAAAAACGCTAAAGCATTCTTCGTGCATTTGTTTCAATTAATGGCGCTCCAGAAATAACTTCAGAAAAAAAATCAATATTCAAACCGATTTAGCATTAAAAAGTTTATTTAGGCGAAAAAGTACCGAAATTACAAATTTTTTCATTGTCGCTCGAGAAAATCATATTTTTTGTTTTAATATCTTTGGGAAGTTTGCAAATAGAATTTTCATGTTAGAGGCAATTAAAGTTGGCATCAAGTACAACATATCTGTGAAGTTTCAAAAATGTGCCACCAATTGAAAAAAAAATGGCTGCAATCGCATTCAGAAACTCCCTCAAACACACACGATGCCCCCTTTTCAAATAGTCCAACATTTCGAACAGTAAAAGAAACGGCTTTCAAAATATATATTAGTATAGATAACTCGACTCCAGTGCTCGCTAGCTGTTGAATTTTTCGGAAGAACATATTTTAATTTTAAAATTAAATGGCATAAGTTGATTTATTTAATATTTATTAGTTTTTTAGATAAATAGGTGACAACCCTGTCTCTAAATATGGTATAGGGCTATCTCATACACGTTTCATTTTATATTCGTTCTGTTGTATTGTTATAAGTAAATATTTTATTTAAAACCCCTTTTCGTAGTTTTTTCGAAAGGTGGTAACCCTAATCAAAATTTGTTCATTCATTGTTATGCATTCATGCATTCATGTTTATGCATTCTCAGAAACATGGCATTATTGCGGTTCATTTATATTTTTTTCTGATGTTTCAGATATCTGGCAACACCATTTTTCCAATATTTTCTTTGCAAACCTTCTACAGACAGAAAGAAATCAAATGAACTAAAAAGGAAGAAAATTTGTTGAGCCGTTCTTGAGTAATGCGATAACACACGAAAGCAATCGATTTTTATATATACAATTTTTTTTCGAATGGTGGCAACCCTATCCAATTTTTTTTCTAAATTAATTGTTTTGTACATTCTCAGTGAAATAGCATTATTTCGGATTATTTATACTTAATTTTTTCTGATATTTCAGATATCTGGCAACACCATAACCAAAAACGCGTTTTGGCGAAAAATGTAATAACTCATGAGATTTGCTCATACACCACATAAAAATTAGGGCATCTTTAAGTGTAAGACAATTTATAGAAATTTCTCAATAAGAATCGAAAGTTGTCAAGTTTACTTCTCCTCGAAGTTTATAGTTATCAGAATTTAGCGGGTTGTACATGTTTATTGAGTTATCGGAATGTATCGAGTTATTGAGATTTATAAATGTTTATTGAGTTATCGACATTTATCGAGAGACAGAAACTAAACAATTTACCGAAAGTTATCGTGTTATACAAATTTATCGGATTATCAAGTTATCGATATTTACGTATATATTTTTATATTTGTTGGGTTATATAAATTTATCGAGTTATCACTATTTATCTTAGTTTATCGTGTAACTAGAGTGTATCGAGTTATCGAAATTTGTTGATAAATATCGCAATTTATGGGGCTGTCAAAACGAGTCGAGTTATAGGAATTGATAAATTTATCAAAAGTTTAAAGTTTAAATATTTTAGTTATCGAAATTTATCGAGTCCTGGAAAAGCGCCGTTATCGAAATTTCCGTCACGCTATCCCTCATTGGTGTAAAATTTAAATTTCACCGGCGCCCCGTCCACTCATCCCTAACTGGGATGCGCGTGTAGAAACAGCTAGCTGGTGGCAGTGATCCCTGTTATCAGGAATGAAATCGAAGCCCCGAGAATACTAAGCTAACCAACGGTCCTAAGTCTGGCTTCCGCCCTTGCTGCAGCTGCTTCACTTGCGATATCGACAGGCATGGTCTATCTGACAGGTCCATCATGACATCAAGAACCAGGGTGGTAGTACTCTTAAGTGCCCCACTCATTCCGACTAACGCAGCCTTCTACAGTGCCTTAACCTGGCAAGGACTCCATATAAAATAATTGGCTTATCCATGGTTTCGTTGAGCCAGAAAGGCCAGAAAGGCTAGACGAACGCACGCTCGGACCAGGGCTCCAACCCTACTTTAAGTTTTGACAAACCGAAATTGTTTAATATAAATTTAAACATTTTTGAGGATAGGATACAATTTACAAAATAAGTACATCAAAGTAAAACACTCATGAGACGGGCAGAGCTGAGTAAAGTCGAAAAAATAGACAAAAATTAAGTCGAAAGCAAGCCGAAGAGATCCCGGTAGCGAGTAAATGACATTATCATTATTGATTTGATACCTTTGCCTTCTATGTTAGAACACTGTGCCCTGCAGCCGTCACGTATACGCCGTGTGTGCCGTTTTGCCAATATTAACTCAGTATTTATGTTGATGTTGATTTTTTCGAGGTACTTTTCAATGATCTCCATGCCATCCGCCTTATTGGCGGAAGTAGAAGTCGCAACGATGGCAGTGTGGGCGACGGTGGCAGCAGATGTCGCCGGCACTGATGCTTTCTGCTGCTGCAGCTGTTGCGATTGCTTTTGTTGCGGAAAAAATTTACCAGTAAGAATGTCGTTGTCACTGTCGCTGTTGCTGGTGCTGTCTTCATTGGATTTGTTGTTTTCGCTGTTTTTGCTATTGATGACTTGCTCATTATACTGATGTTCGCTCTTGTCAACGTTGCCATCGAATCCTGCTTGCCGATTAAATGTATAATCCTCAATCAGCAGCCAATGATAGGTTGAATTGAACAAAGCTTTTTTCGATGCCTTGGCATTCGGCGAAAGTAGACGAGCAACAATATAACGATTACAAGCATGTATATATATGTAATGAGAAAAAGAAGAAGAAGAGAGGAAGAAAAGAATTAGTAGAGTACAGGTTTCAAATGAATTTTATATTATATTTATACTATTTCATTTCTGACTTTTGGCACAATAAGTGACATCAAAAATGCTATTACTTGAAAGCATGTCAACGTGGAGTAAATAGCATTGTTGGCGAAAATATCAGAAAGCGCTTAAATGTGCAGAGAAAAAAAACAATGAGGAAACGAAAACATTTTCATTCAAAGACGTTGAGTTGGAAACTTTGTTTAATTTTTTTTCGCTTCAATTACGCAAAACTTTTTACTAAAAAATTAAGTTTTTTTGTGGTTTTATGACATTCATTTTTTTTCATTTAAAAAACTTAAATGAAATATCTTTAAAAGCATAAGCAGACGGCAACGTTGATCCGTATAAACTATTTAGTTAATTCAGAATTATCTATTGTGAATGAAAAATAAACTAAATAAAAAAGTAGGTAAGCAATGCTTAAGAGTTTACGTCCACGGTAGCCAAGTGGTCAAAGCTGCGTACTATTTAGAAACCATTAGGACCCAGGAACGATCCTCGTTCCGAGCAATTTCCAAAAAATACACATTTGATTTTGTAGTTTTATTTTATTTTTATATTTTATTTTACTTGATTTTGTTTTGCTTAATTCTCTTTTGTTTTATTTTGATTCGCATTATTACAGCACTTCAAGTTAACTAAATTTTTTAGACTTTTTTTTATTTATTTAGAAATTTAACAACTGCCATTACGTTAAAAAAATACAATTGATAATTAAAGGAACTCAAAAATTTATTTAAAAAAGAAATTTCGCTGGTGATGGGGTGTGAACCTACGACTCACGGCACGCTTAATCTGCAGCAGCACTGCTTGTGAAAGGTATTATTTTTATATGATCGACTGCGCCGTTAATCCGGAACAATGTTGCCGACTATTTAGGCTATAAGGAACTATATTTATATGATTCCTCAGATATTTTTTAAACGTGGCTACCGTGTCCTTTCCGGAAAAAATTTAATCAACAAAAAAAGAAAGAAATTAGTTTAAAAATTGTCTTCCAAAAATTAAATGAAATTGAAAAATAATGTTATAATCTACAAATTAAATTAAAAAATTAGAAAATAAAAAAATTTTCTACAAATTAAATTAAATTTAATTAAAAAATATACATATTTTTCGTTTTAACACAGTAATATTCAAACATTAAAAGAAAACTTAATGAAAAAGTAATATCACTGCTACTTCTCTTCCCTTTTGAAGCCAACTAGGATGTTCAAAGAGTCAGCTAGGATGTATTACTTAATTTCAGCTGATATCTCAATAACTTTTTTTTTGTATCAAAATATTTATTTTATCTTTGAAAAAATTAAACTATCATTAAAGTATTCAATCTGAAAAAACTAATAGATACAAATTATATTCTCAGCCAATGCAATTGAATTTTATGTTGGTGAATTTTTATTGAATAATTGAAACTAAAGAACGAATACCCGTTTTCGTGGATCTAGCCTCTTTGGCATTAAAGAGCTCTTATTTAATAGTCCTCAATCCAAATATTCTGTTGACTGAGATGAAGGTTTATTTGTATGGCCTTTATCACTCGGCCCAACAAAGTGCTCTACAATTGTTGCAACAGCTTATTTATTGCTCAGAGCTTCTTTTGAGCTACATATATATGTATATTGACTGTGCATACCCACCCAGTTGGTTATGCTTAGATCCTTAGACTTCCATCTCATGGCAGCTGGGTGCTATTTCGGTCTCAACAAAAGTTGCTATGTTAACCAAAGCTTCGATGTCGATTTCATAGACTTTGAGGGTAATCTTCTCGAAGTCAGTTTTCACTTTGTTTTCGCTCTTCGGAAGAATCATTGAGAAACAACGCTATTAGCACTGTCGCTAGATCCGTTAGTTCTATATTTACCATTCTGCAGTTATAAATATGTGGGTACGCTTGAACCACGCTTGGGTACGGAGTGGATCTCGTATAGTTAAACTTAAATCTTAGATTAAATTTGTTTCTAAATACTCGTATCTAAATTTCGCAGTGTAAACATTACTCCTCTGATTCATTTCCGCAAACATACGCTCGTTTGAGAATATAAAAATTGTAACTCCATAAGTATGTACCTTAGGGCGGGTCAATGTGTATGGACGAGAAAAATCGTATGCGCATGTAGCACAGAAGGATTCTACGTATAATTCTAACTAAAATTTGCCGAAGAAACCGTGAGCCTAAAATCAATTTGGATTTTGTCTGATTGCGAAAATAGATTACTTAGCATTTTACTGTAGTGTCTTAAACAGGGACCGAACATAACAGTTATTGATGAAAACTGTCATTGTAAAATTTACTATGAAGGAAATGTTCTACAACTAACCCCTCTATTCTAACAGAGTCACAAAACTTAGCTCATCACTGTTGTGATTTCAAGTGCACCGAGAAATCTGTCACAAAAAATTCGATTTCGAGTGCTAGAAAAACACACAAAAATTTAAAAAATTGAATTGAAGCGGCATATTTTTTGAGCGGCAAGCTTTGAGGCGCGGTAGAAATCACAGCAGTGATGAGCTGAAGTTTGTGACTTTGTTAGAATACGGCTGTTAGTGAAACATACAAATCCATTTTTCTTTTCACCCAGAATCAAATTTGAAAATAAATTTTTATTTGTAATTTCTATGCAATATTAAAAAAAATAACAATTATTTTTGGTTTTTATTTTATAAATCCAAGATAACAATTATTTTAGATTTTTATCTATAAAATCTGAAATTAGCAATTATTTTTGATTTTTTTATTCCATGTCTTTGATAACAGTTATTGAAGACTTTTACTTATCATCAGTAAAATCAGTCTGTGACTTTTACTTTTAGAAGTTTAAGTCATACGTATAAATGTTATTATCATTTTTCGCAGTTAAGAAAGTGTTGGAGAACAAAAGTTGACTACGACTTATACAAATAACTTTTGTAAGTATGATTTAAACAAAAAAAGTCTTTGACAGATTTAGATGGATGACTTTTAAAAGTCAAAGTCACTGACTGATTTTTGTTTATGACTTTTATAAATAAAAGTCTTCACCAACTGTTGTCTTAAACAGTTAATTTAAAAATCAAAAATAACTGTTATTTGCAGATTATTTAGATAAAAATCAAAAATAATTGTTATGTTGGACTTATAAAATAAAAATCGGAAAAACTGTTATTTATTGAGTAATTTAATAGTAGTCAAAAAATAAATGTTTTTAAAAAAGTTTTAACTGTCTTAAAGAAGTGCTTTAATTTTGTATAAAAACCTGCTATAAGGGATTTTTTGGTATGAGGAATCCATTTCTGCACTTATCTTTTTCTTAAAACTTCCACCACAGGGCGCAACAGCGAACACTTTGAAAACTTATTTTCGCAATTTGGCAAACGGCAAATTTATTTTAGACCCATAGTTTCTTCGGAAAATTTGCTAAGAATTGCACGAAGAATCCTTCTATGTTATACGCGCATAGTAAAAAATGAGCCGCCCTAATATGCATATTTTCTTTCTAACGTTGTACTGGTTTAACCAAGTATCTACTTCTACAAAAATCACATAAAAATCCCCACTACTTCAAATATTCTACAATGGCGAAGAGAAAGTGAAGTGCATTGAATTACTTCCCTAAACGTTCCATCTCTCCTGTTTGCCGTTTATTTTCATTAATACTTTTTTTTGGTGTTTTTCTTCGTTTGCATTATACTTCAATCCCAACATGAATAATTACATAGATTCGCTCGTAAGCAGTGATTTGCTTTCGCTCTTGTCAGCGCTTTTGCTGCCATTCCTCACCAGCTAAACTGCCTTTGGCGACTGTTGCGCCAAAGCTGCCAATTTTGCTGCATTTTTTCTTGTCATAGTCCGTTTGTGTTTTTTTTTTTACAATTTTTGCTTTCTGATTTTGTTTACTCTTTTTCGATTCAATTACAGCAGTATTAACAATTATCCCTGACTAGTTTACCATGTAAATATAATTGTAACTGCATGCAGAGCAAAAGATAGATTGTGTTTTTTTTTTTGTAGATGTAATTTAAATCGTTTGACTTTGAAAAAGTAAATGGTTCGATTTACTTCAACTGCATTAAATATTTTGCTTCCTGTATCCGATCGAAATCCATTAGTACATATTTAATGGGCGATTTTTGCAAAATGCTTTAATAATTGCTTAAGAATCTGCTAAGATATACAATTCACGACGCCTAATATTCAATTTTTGGCGTCATTTGGGCAATTTTCACCTATGAATAAAGGTGACTACATATGATCCTCCATGAATTTATTTTTGTAATTACTATGTAGATTTCACCCAAAAAGGGCAAGATAAACAAAACCGATTAAAAAAAGGAAATTTAAGAATTTAAAGAAGCTGAGTCTTTAGAAGTTCACAGCCAGTGCCGCATTCATATTGAGAAGCTAAGTTCCTCTGAAGAGTAGAGATACAACATAAACCCAAGACGCGAGAAAGCTAGCCGAAGAGACAGTGCGAGAAGGTAAGAGGGGCGTAAGTGAACGTAACTATGGAGGGTGGCTACAAGCGGACCCGACTAAGGTAACCCACTTTTTTGTTTTATATTAAAACAGTACAGAAAACTGTTCTAAGTTGATGCAACTTTTCAACGGCCTGCAGCAGGACTGTAACAAACCATTTTCCGCGCTTGAACCACTTCCCAACGAAATACTTGGCGGCAGTACCAGAGGGATTAGAGCTTAGACGGTAGGAGGTTTAGTTTGGGTTAAATTCCCACACTGACGGGGTTTGGCTTTCGACGCTTCCTCCTTTTTTAAATGTTAAAATCAATTAATTTTTAAGTTAAATAAAATAATACAATGTGGGTGCCAAACGAAGGGACTTAAAAACGATTTATGTATAATGAAATTTTGGCAGAGAGTTGCCATCTGTCTAAAACGGTAAAACCAATTAAATTGATAAGTTTAATCATATATTTAAATATGGGTATTAAAAGAGAGAAGTTTAAGGGAATTTTCCTCCGAAAATAATTTTAAGCAGCGTTGCCACCTGTTCATAAATCCTAAACAAATTTGATCAATATTTAAATGCAAACCAAACGATAGAGTTTAAAGAAAGCTTTATTTCAAAAACATGTTGGAAGGGAGTTGCCACCTGTTTGGAAATTCAAAATCAATATAATTTGTAAGTTAATTGAAACATTTTAATGTACATATGTACGGGGGAGTCAATCATAAATAACTTAAGAAAGCTTGATTTCTTTGTTTATATTTTTGTAAAAAGTTGCCACCTGTTAAAAAAAACCTCTCGATTGGCATATTACATCGAGGTATGTTACACATTTTCACCAAATTATTTTGAACGCATTTTATAAGAGTTAAATGTGGCAACAAAAAAATTTATTTAAATCAACAATTCGGCGTTTATATAAATAAAACTAAATTTATTTGGTTACATATAAAGACTATCTACGAAAGATAAATTCGTCTTCATAAACACTGAGCAATCTGCGAGAATAAAATATCGAGAAGGGCTCGATTGAGAAAACCATCTGAGTAAGAACATCAAAATACTGCATAATTCTATAGCATTCGGTATAACAGATTGAGGTGCAACAGTAACATTTAATAACAAAAAAAGTAGCACTATATTTCCAACAAATTTTTTACAATTCTTTGAATTAATAAAGGAACCCAAGCAAATGTTCGTTTGTCCCCAAATGACTACCGCTCTAATTTCTCGATTTTAAATGCTTACTTTTTCCTTAGCAACAAATTCAATATTACCCAAATTTAAAAGCTAATTTAATTGAATAGTTAATATGCTGGTAGATTGCATTCAATTTAAACTAAAAGTGCAAATAGTAGGTAAAATTACAGCCAACACCAAAACGTTAAGCAACAACAAACTGCATTAAAACTTCATACATATACATACATATGTGTTCATATGCACGTGTGTGGCTAGTACACATCATGGCAAATTCTAAATAGCAAATGTGTACTCTAATAACCATTAGTACCTAACAAAGTGCTCACACATAGCAACAAATAGCCAACAAATTGAACACACTAAATAGAGTCGAAATAGAAATGGCATAGAATTGCCATAGAGGTATCATTTAAGTAGTTAAAATGTGTGGGTTTGTCGAAATTTCTGCAGTGGGATTTCAATTTACAACCGCAAGCGCATTTCACCGAAATTTTCCAACATTTGCGCGCGGCATTAAACTTTATATGTTTACACGTATGTACATATGTACGCACGCCTACTAATGGAAATAAATAAGTAGGCAGGCGAATATGCGAATAGAAACACTGACAGGTAAACAAATTTACAGATCATGCAAATTATTGAATTTGGAATAAGCTGCACTTATTTTTAAGCAATTAATTGAATGTAGGATTTAATGCATTACCAGCCAACTGAGATCTATGTATGTATATTGAAATAGTATTTCAAACATTTTTATATCGACGGCTGAATGAAAGATCGAAATGTCTCAGCTGCCGGGATAAAAAGGCTTACGTGCCGATATATTAAATTTATATTGAGATTGAGGCAATCATTTTCTGAGATAAGGCGTCTTCGAACCGGCAGCCGATATGTAGTTGAATTCTTAGTGCTGGTTATCAACATAAAAAACAGTAAGGTAATTTGATAAACTAGCGACTTTTTGAGTTTCCCGCATCATATACATACTTCTGTAACTTGTTTCGGGCGCTTACCATCTTGCAATAGGCTATATTTTTGTGAACTTCCCCGAAACTTTAGGCTGGGATGATACTGGTCGAGGTTTGGGAGTCAGTTCCGCAAAGTGCGGTAAACACCGTTGTTTTTCTCTAACCTAAATGATTTGGCATTGGAAAGAAATATGTACCTACATAGTTTTGATACTGGATAGGAAACTTAATTAGAGATTTATCATTAATGAAAGGGTTGGCAAAACTACAATGGTTTTATTCTTTAGCACTAGATGGCTATAAAACCCGTGAAAAAAACCTCGCTTTATTCAAAAGCAGTTCCTGAATTCCAGCAATCTCTCTACGAGATAACTAACATATTTCGAAAACGTCCGGTCACAACGCCAGCTGACAGATATATTCTTGATATTTACTCTGCAAACATGCGAACCTTTCATTTATTATTCAAAAAATCGCACGAGTTAAAAAACGAGGAATAGCAAAAAGGACCCTCATGTGAAATTGCTAGAACACTTTGGCCATCTGTGAAAGCTCAATGCTCAAAATGCCTCCTTAAAGGGGGTTTGAGAAGGCAAGTAATCCGTTAACCACTGCGATTCTTACCTGGCACTGTCTGCAGCTAGACTGGGACGATAAACGCAGAAGTTTTTGGCTATGAAAGAGAAGAAAATCATCCAACACCGACTCAGCCACTGCCCAGCATTAGCTAGACGTGGGGCATATACTCCCAGCAATCACTTTTTCAATGATAACTGTAGATTATCTGAGGTTGGTAAAAATAAGGAACCTCTACACATTTTTATTGAGTACTTAGTGATTTTCCCCAGCAGGGTCATAGGGCGCTTTGCGTGTGAGTCCTATTTTCTCATTATGATATGATCACTTTTTATTTGGAAATGGTAAAAGATGGAAAATGTGGATTAAATAATAATCTAAATTAAAGAAGTTGAACAGACACTAAAAGCCAATTTCACGAAAGCACTTTAATGAAAATGATTTTTTTATACCTTTCATGAGCATGAAATGGTATTATAACTTTGGTCCGACGTTTGTAAGTAACAGAATAAAAACAGATAGACCGGTTAAAATGCATACTTATATGATCAGAGCGTCGAGCTGAGTCGATTTAGCCATGTCCGACTGTCTGTCTGTCCGTCTTTTTATATGCAATCTAGTCTCTTAGTTTTCGAGGTATCCGGATGAAATTTGGTAAGTGGACCACAATAACATATAGCTCCCATACAACTGATTGTTCAGATACAAGATTTTTCGTTATAACTCCTCCATTTATGCAGCTGGGAACATGAAATTTCGCACTATTTTCACTCATTATCGACAGAAAGTTTACAGTAAAATTAACAAAGATGGGGTCACTATAACCTATTTATTGCCTCCATACAACTGATTGTTAAGATATGGAGTTTTACTGCAAAACTCCTTTATTTGGACAGCTAAAACCGATAAATTTCGTTTTGCGATATATCTTCTTTATGTAGGAAGCTAAACCCAATAAATTGTGTTACCGGTTTATAGGATCAGGTATTTGTTTTCAATCTGAAAAAGAACCAATTTCGAATTTTAATTTCGCTCTTATTTTTTCTGGCATTAGTCCATCAAACTTTAATAAAAATTCCATATTTCCAGGATATCTATTGAAATCACTTATGCCGTAAGCATTTCTAAAATTTTCCGGGAATTTTTACTCCTTAGTACTCAATTAAAAGTAGAACCCATACACATAATTTTATTTTAGTTAATGCGCAGTTTTTTTACTTCGGACAAATATTTTTGAGTTTTCGAATAAGATAAATTTAGTTTACCTTTTCCACTTTCTTAAAGAAATCGTTTTAAAATCATCCCGAAATTTCCATTAGAGGCAGCTCACTTCGAACTTTATTTAGTAAAAACTGTATATCAAAGTAATCAGTAGCAGAGAAATCATTTAACTGATATAAAATGTTATCTTTCCACAATTGTTCATTGCAAAATCCAACTTTAAAACGAAGTTCAACACACTTCCAACTACATACGTACACCACACCTATATACCTCCGTCCACTCAATGCATCCGGAAATCCATTGCGTATACGCAACTTTTTAAGTTCGTTACCCTTGGCTGATATGAAATTCTCCAAGCAACGCTTACAACAATAACTTACATATGTATGTAAAAACAATCAAAGACACACACACACACACACACACACACACACATACACACACATACACACACACACACACACCTCGTGTAAAAAATAATACCACGCTTCATTTTCCCCCTCTATACCTTGCATTTTTCCAACTCCACTTACCATTTCGAGCAGCCGTCGACTCGCTGCACCGCATGCTAAATTCAGCACTACAACCTGTCGACTGCCAACGCCGCCATGCAGCGCTTGCTCCAACCAATTCGCATTCGCGTACACATTGCGTGCGCCCGCTGATCGGCCATAACCACTGCCAAAACCTGCGCCAAACGTGCGTTGCGCATACCAATTATAACGACTGTTTTTGGTATTTTTGTTATTTGTGGCAGTTGGACGGTTATTGATTAATTGATCGATATGCACAACTTTAATTAAAATGTCCCTCGGTGGTGTAGCGGTGCTAGGCGTAGTGCCATGGGTGTTGGCATCATCAGCTCCAGCGGTGGCGGGGACAGGCACTTCTCGACGACTGGCAGCACTTCCTTTTCCGCTCTTCGGTCGTTTTCCGGTGGTCGCCGCCACCACCGGTGCCGCCGTCGCCGCCGCATGTATTATTGACTGTGCCTGCTTGTGCGCATTTGTAGTTGTAGTGCTTGTAACGGCAGTGCGTTGACCAGCCATATTTCCATTGGCACGCATTTGCCCAGCTGTGCTAGTGGCTGCAGCAATTTTTGAAGTGGTTGTCAATTTCTGTGCTCCCGCTGTTGCAACTCGTTTGGTTGTTGTTGCTACCTTGTTGGCGGTTAATTTTGGTTCAGCTTCAGCTCCAGCTGCACCTGCATCTGACCTCATTTTGGCTGCTGTTGCCACCTTAGTGCCATACATGCGCTCCAATATTTCCACAGTTTGCATATTTAAGTATGTCATTTGTTGGTCGAATTGATTGCCCGCCTGGTCGCGGTCGTCGTCGTCGCCGGACGGCATTCGCCGTTGTTGACCACTCAGCCAGCGACAGGTGAAAAACGTGACACGCGGTATATGCTTGTATTTAATTGCAAATTCATAAATTAACTGCTGCTGCAAAGCGGCTGTAACATCCACATCCACATCGAGCGATGACGCAAATTCTGCCTGTGCCACCTGCGCGCTGCATGGTGCGCGCTTTGCTTCGTCATCCTCTACTACTGCCGCGCTACCTTGCTCCATTTTTCCTACAAACTTTTGCTGCTCTCCAGAGAGTGACGCGCTTGCTGCTGCCAGTGTGGTTGTTGTTGTCGCTGCTGGCAATTGTGTTGCTGCACATCCGCTGTCAACAACCTTTGGTCGCTTGGCATTTTCATTTCCATTATTTCTCACCTTTTGGTAGTCATTAATTTTAACGTCCCCATTCATAGTTGCTGCTGTCATCGTGTTGTTAGCATGCTCTGTTGCTGCTGCTGCTGCTGTTGTTGTTGCTGTTGTTGCCTGCATGCCATCTGTTTGCTGTGGCAATGCAAAATTTGCGCCATCCATTGTGTCCACTATAGCCGATTTTACTTTTGCTTCTAACCCCTGCGCTTCCCCCAAATCTCGCTTAAACAATTTGCTCCAGTCTTTCTCGCTGGCCGTTGCCGAACTATTTAACATTTCATTAATTGCACTGAATTGATCACTGTCCAACGCACGCCGCCACTGCCGCCGCTTGTCATCCAAATCGCCCCCCTCGACCTTTGCCGCATCCTGCTGTGCTGTAGAAAAAAGTGCTTTAACCACCTCATTGTCGCCTACATCAAGGCTACTGATCTCCATCTGCTCATACAAATTACTGACGATGTAGCTTACATTGTCTCGCTCAGCTTGATTGCTTTCGCCGCCATTGCCAACGCCACCACTGACCCTCACACACTCACCCGGTCGCCATATTAATGTCCATATTAAAATTAACAATGCCATTTTTATTTTGTTATTAAAACATTCCGTTGTCCATGTCATCACGCGCAGCTTCCTCGGCTTACAGAGCGCGAGGCGCCTTTGCGTCCTTATCCTTGGCATGCTCATTTGCTTGCTGTCCATTCCACTTTGTCGCCGTTTTCGCTAGTATTTAAAGTATTTCATAAATTTTGCCGTTGTATAAATAAATTCCAACACACGCGCTACGTTCGCACCGCCGAAATGCAAAAGTAAAACTCAAAGAACTTTATTATTAATTTTTTTTTCAGTAAAAATTTTTCTTCTTTCTTTTTTTCTTGCTGATTTTTTGTGCGCATAAACCACAAGCAGCGCTCAACCACTCGCCTCTACTTACAAGTTGACTTCCGCAATTTGTTCGGTGTTATGCGCGCTTTTATAGCGGCAACTTTGTGGTTGGTAGTCATAAGTGGCTCATCGTATGCGCCGCAGCCGCTTCCCCCGGTTGATTCATCACCAAGAGTGACCATTTAATGTTTTTATAGCAGCTATCCGAAAGGCAATTAATACGTTTGTGAATATTACTGGTTCCAGGGAGCAGCGCATATTCGTATTGCTGATTTACATACATATGTATATGTATATACTACATGGGTCATTCCATATCAAATCGACCAATGCACTATGGGATAGCAGACAGTAAAAAGTCGCGGAAATTAGCCGAAACTTCTGACATTGATTCAATGGACTAGACTATCTAACTATATAAAAAACAATCAAATAAAATATTTAAACAAATATTTTCGTCACTTTTGATGAGCTGCTGGACCAAAGTGCAATAGTTGGAATAGAACATTTTTGCTTTTGGTGAAATTCATCATTCATTAGTCAGAAATTTTCTTTTATCATATAACAATTTTCGGCCAAAGGGCAATTAATGCTTTTCGAAAGTTCAAAATTTTATTATTTCCCAGATTTTGTAACTTTATTTTTTGAATATTGCAAAAACTAGTATGAATAGTTACAAAAATTTTTCTGGTCTCATTTTAAAGATAACAATTGACGCTAGGGATAAAGAACGTATTTAAAATAATAATTAAAAATTTTAAAATTCAGAATTTTGAAATTTAAAAAATTGTAAAACAAATTTTTTTATACAATTTCTCTAACTCATCTCAGCAGATCCTGCAATTTTAAAAGTGTTTTTTTTTATTTTGTAAGTTTTGAACTTTGAAAAAAAAATTATTGCAAACTCTAATTAAAAACAAGTAAGAAAGTCTAACTTCGGGTGGAGCCGAACATTAAATACCCGGTGCAAGTATTAAATATATGTTTTTTCACCTTTCCGAAAGCTACCGCTAGATGGTAAACCGGGGTGTATAAATTTTGAGTAAATTAGCGTCCTAAAATTTCGCAATATTGCAGTTTCAAGCATTTCTGAAATTTACCGTTATATGAAAAGCGGCCGTAATTTTAGTCCGATTTCAATAATTTTCAACGTTTTGCTTTTATGTGGCAAGCACAAAAAAAATACCGAGTTTGATACAAACTGGTAAACCGGTTACCGATATAAATATATGTGATCATAAGTGGGCGGTGCCACGCCCATTTTCCAAAATTTTACCATAAACGTATTTCTTGGTAAAGAATTGTTGCAAGCATCAATTTTGAATAAATTAGCTTCAATATTTACTGATTTATCGAAGATTTTGTATTTCTCTAAATTACCGTTATATGGGATGTGGGCGTGGTTATTGTCCGATTTTTTAAATTTTCGGCCATTTGGTATGCTGTACCAAGGCCAACAACTGTGCCAAGTTTGGAAGAAATTGGTGCAGCGGTCACCAAGATATACACATGTAACCATAAGTGGGCGTGGCTACACCCATTTTCCAAAAATGTATAATATTCTTATTGTTCGTCTAAAAATTATTGTAAATATCAATTTTGAGTGAATAATCTTCAGTAGTTACTAAAATATCGCAGTTTTCGTATTTCCGAAAATTACCGTTATATGGGATGTGGGTGTGGTTATTGTCCGATTTTTTAAATTTTCGGTCATTTAGTATGCTGTATCAAGGCCAACAACTGTGCCAAGTTTGGAAGAAATTGGTGTAGCGGTTACCAAGATATACACATGTAACCATAAGTGGGCGTGGCTACGCCCATTTTCCAAAAATTTATAATATTCTTATTTTTCGTTTGAAAATTATTGTAAATATCATATTTGAGTGAATTATCTTCAGTAGTTACTAAAATAACGCAGTTTTCGTATTTCTGGAAATTACCGTTATATGGGAAGTGGGCGTGGTTACAGTCCGATTTCGCCCATTTTCAATACCAACCTACCTTGGATTAACGGAAATCTACGTACCAAATTTCGTTGAGATATCTCAATTTTTGCTAGAGTTATCGTGTACACGGACGGACGGACAGACGGACGGATCGATTTCTCTATTCATTCTGAGCATTTATGTATACATTTGTCTATATCTATCTCGATTCGTTTTGGCTGTTACAAACAACCGTTATGTGAACAAAATTAATATACCCTTGTGCACAAGTGCGCTCGGGTATAATAAATTTCAATAAACAGAAAATCTTTTAGCATGCATAACTTTATTAAAAATTTTCGAAAAAAGGTTTGTTTCAAAGTTAAAAAATTCATATCATACCACAAAAAAATTCAGGATCAGATTAATTGGAGTTATTGCAAAAAAAAAATTGCCAAAAATTTTTTGAAAAACAAAATTTATTGCAAAGTCTTAATTAAATAAAAATTCTTTCACATAACTTTATTAAGGATTTTCAAAAATGTATGGCTTCAAAAAACTCAGATCAGCATTTTATGAAAACAAAATTTAGCCAACAACTTAAATGAGTTTTTGCTTTTACGATTTTTTTTTTTTTTAATTTCTGAATTCTGTAAGTTTTTAATTTTCTTTTATAGCCCTAAATACCACCCTTTAAAATGAAGCCCGAGCCATTTATTGTAACTATCATTGACTTACGATATTATAAAAATACAAGTATACTTGCAAAATCCCTGAAATTGTGAGACATAGAATTTTGCATAACTTTCGCAAGAAGATACTTTCTTTGGCAGAACTTCGTTATACAATAAAATAAAACTTCTGGCCAAAATTCAACCAAATCAAAAGTGCTCGATTCCAACCTTTGGCCTATTTGGCATGGATTGACCCCTATACATACATATTTATATTTGTATTTATATGCGCATTGCATGTGTGTATGTAAATGCAATAACCGCGCCTCGTCTTCGTTTACCTTATTTTCCTTTATAACTGCCTTGCATTATTAAAAGCCCTTCGACTTTCATCAATTTTTTTGTTAATCGCTATTTTTCCTTCTCGTTGCCACAACATGCACTGAAATGGTTTTCCTGTCTGTCTCAGCACGCTTGGTATTTTCAAGCCAAAAATTATAAAAATATATGTACATATTCATTGATGTCAAACAAAGTACACCGTAAAAGAAATTTTATACTTACAGACACCAAAAATTTAACGGGCACGTTATCTGCATATACCTTCCGTAGCTGTATTCATCAAGGCATTCATGTTGCCTCAAACAAAGTATTATTAGCAAGCTGTAAAAGGAAAGGGGATTTTTTTGAAGAATGGTCTTGTTCTTCTTCTAGTTTGCTTGGGTGGCCATAAAAAAAATGCTCATTCGCGGCAGTATTTCCATTTTCGTATATAGTTTGCTTTAAGTGACGGCCGTAGCGGCCGCGAATAGTGGTCTTGCAGCTTAAAAATTTAACTTCATTTATACCAGAGACCGTACCGAGAATTAAGAAAAAATCCCTCGAATACGCAAAAACTTCGGCCATACCGACAAGTCTAATGCATTCTCACGTGTGCAAGTACGTCTTGGCGTATACGCAACCGCTTTACCTATAACTCTGAAAACAAATTCCTTAAGCTTGTTTCACGAAATTTTCGAAATCAAATTTTATTTTTGATTTTTATCTAATTAATTTTCCACTTAAGCTTTTCTGTTTCAAAAGTTTAATTGAAAAAAACATGCTGTTAAGTTGGTAAAGAATTAAACCAACTGCCTTACACATTTGAATTTAAATTAAAATAAATTTTTTACATAAATGATTTTTAATGGGTATCTAACTAGTACCAATTCCATTCGGTTTGATTTCAATACGGCTGACCGAAATATCGAACTGATGGTATTTACCAGAGACATAACTATTAGAAGAGAAAAGAATAAAAGTCAATCAACAATTACACTGGATCACAAATTTTAATTTGATTGTATGTTATTAATTTAACAAATACTTGCTAATGAAAGGTTAAAGAATAACACTTAGAAAAATACAAATACAAAGAATGAAAGTAAGGGTGAGAACGTACATAGATAAAGAAAAGGATAAAGGCAAAGATAAAAATAAAAACAAAAACAAAAACAGAAATAAAAACAAAGAAAACAAAGATGCGTAAATATAAAGGCAAAAATGAAGACCAATTTAAATTTAAACACTTCACTCATATAAGGGCAAAGGAAAAGCGGAATATGTAGATGAAGAAATTGATAAACATAAAAGTAAAAACAAAGATAAATATAAAGAAAAAAATGTGGATGAGGATACCGATAAAAGTAAAAATGAAGACAGAGGAAGAAAGATTAAAACAAAGGTAATTATAGAGAAGAGGATATTGATAGAGACACAGAGACTCAATCTGGGAACTATTTTGGGATTTTAGAGATTTTCGGGATTCTCGGGACTTATCGATGTAATAATCGATGTTTTTATCAGTTTTGTTATCGATAGCTTATCGATTATTATCGATTTTGTTATCGATTTTGGTATCGATTTTGTTATAAATTATTTATCGATTTTCTTAGATATTTTTACTGATTTTTTTATCGATTTTTTATCGATATTTTTATTGATATTCTAATCGTTTTGTGTTATCGATAATTTATCGATTTTTTGGCGATATTTTTATTGATTTTGTTATCGATATTATTTTCGATTTTGTTATCGATATTTATATCGAATTTCTAATCGATTTTGCTACCAATATAATTATCGATTTTGCGATCGAAGTTTTTATTGAATTTGTCATCGATATTTTTATCGGGTTTGTTGTCGATATTTTGTTGGATGTTACTATCGATTTTGTTAG